AAGGGAACCTGAAAACAGAGGAACTAGACTGATGTAATAATTGAATAGAAAAAAAAGTACTTACTTCGGTGCTTTGGTGACAGGAACACGAACACCTCTCGCCCATGATACTGTTTACGTGGACTGGACCTGATGGCTCAAAGTTGTCGAAAGACTAAACCAGCTGTCGCCCTAAGTTGGTGTGTTTGCTGCATCTCTCTCATAGTTGTACCTGAAAGATACAAGATAAGAAAATGAAAAATACAAGGATGCAACTTGATCGAGTCACTTCCAATACAAGCGGGGGAGGGGATGCCAAGACATTCCTTTCATTGACTCTACAGTGCTGATATATAATAATATAGGGTGCGTTTTCAAACTAAACAGAGTGTTCCTACTAAAATGAATTTGCCTACATACCCCTGAAACTCTTATCTGATAGATAGAATGCACAAATAAAACAAAAGTTTTGCTATTATAGGTAAAAAGTTCTCTTGAAATTTCGAAGTGATTTTACCTGTTAATTCTGTCCATGGTCCGCCATTTTTGCGGAAGTTACACTGAAACGCAAACTCCATGAAACGAAACGAAATCACTAGAAAAAACATGGCACACATTGTGCGCATGTGCAGCAAAGTTTAGACCAATTCCTTGGACCAATTAGATTATTTGATTATTTTGCGCACGTGAATTATTTGCTTCTGAGCACTTACAAGCTTACCACAATAAACAAACCTGGCAGAGACTACCCTTAGCCTACTTCATTTTGGCGAAATTTCAGCTCAAACTCGTGACAAATGCATTATGCATACGCTGGTGTGAAGCCTTGGAGACACTCATTTTGGTAAATATGATTTATGGGGTATACTTTTCTGCAGTTTGTGGGAGTTTGGGACATTAAATGTTAAAATTCAAGAAAATATGCCAATTAAACGACTGATCAATTAATATATACCAGCACTGTAGTAAATATGTTATAGCCTTGTACCCCTCTCGGTTCAAGATTTATATCATCAAGTCAACTAGATTTTTGTTTTTTCTAACTGCTTGGGCAGATGTAACTCTGACTGTAGGAAGAACGGAGTTTAAAACTTTTTAACCTATTAAAACGTTTAACCTTTTCCGAGATATTTCAGCATGGTAGGGGTCATTTGACCATGACCATTGTGATCCTGACATTGGTAAATGTTATATGGGAGTAGGAAAACTGACTGAAGTTCAAAGCAGAACTCTTGTTATCTCAAAAACTTCTTAAATCCACATGTTTTTTATTTCCTGTTGGGGATAATTTTCTACCCAGATACATGTACCTATAAAAGACTTTCTGATAACCATACAAATAAGGTTATTTTTTCCAAACAACATTTCTGCCCGTGCTTTTTTCTGGAACAAAATAAAGTATGAAGACATGTGTGTATTTTCTTGCTTATTTCAGGAAAGTATCATTACATTGTCTTCTCTAAGCAAACCTAGTAAGTGGTCAATGAAAATCCAATGTTATTGAGAAATTTGGAAAAATTGAAAAGGTGGCCATTTTGATTGATTTTTCTTAGATTTCAGCTTTTCATGAAGTTGCCAATTACCTGCTATTAGGTTAACTAAAAAGACATTGTCGTTGTGCTGCATGACACCATCATTCGTACTTTTTATATTTTGTATTTTTTACCTATTCCTTAGTTTTCCTCGTCTGGAACCACTGCATGCTTTTAGACACTTGTTATGCCCTGGTCACATTAGCTCCACATCATCCAGATCGAGCATATGCTGGCATAATAATCCGGGCTCTGCTTATTCATTTTGTCTACAACAACGGCAAATAATAGCAATTTTTATGATATACTGTGTTATTTTCGTTTTTACGTATCGACATTTTTCAACTTCGAAAATTCCTTTGTTCTTATTTGTATAATGAATGCTCATAGGATCTAACCACATGATCAGACGTAAGGTGGTCTGTTGAGATTGACCAATGAACATCGCGAGAAATCGCTGTAATCGAATGCTAGTAAGCATCAGTTTTAAGCGTCTGGTATCAGTTCCAAATACATGTATATCTTATTTCCCAAATGGTCCCTAATCACGTTCGAATTTCGCGACGCTAGACATTAAATGCATGCTCGTGTGAATGTTGCGTTCTATTTATACTACGTTTCAATTACATAAACATTAAAATAACATGAACATAAACTTTATTGAAAATGCTTACATAAAAACTCATCCATTCTTTGTGGATAATGTGAAAGTCCAATAAAGTTACGTTTTTAAGCAAAGTAACATGTTTTGAAAATGCGTACATAAAAATGCATTTATTCTTCTTCGTGGAGAAAAGTTAAAGTCCAATAAAGTTACGTTTTTATGACAAGGTAACGTGTTTTGAAAATGCTTACATATTAATTCATCCATTCTTCGCGGAGAAAAGTTAAAGTCCAATAAAGTTACATTTTTATGACAAAGTAACGTGTTTCGAAAATGTCTACATAAAAATTCATCCATTTTTCTTGGAGAAAGTTAAAGTCCAACAAAGTTACGTTTTTAAGGCAAAGTGACGTGTTTTAAAAATGCCTACAAAGGAACTCATCCATTCTTCGTGGATAAAGATAAAGTCTAATAAAGTTACGTTTTTAAAGCAAAGTAACGTTTTTTGAAAATGCCTACATAAAAATTCATCGATTCTTCGTGGAGAAAAGTTAAAGTCCAATAAAGTTACATTTTTATGAAAAAGTTACGTGTTTTGGAAACCATGGGCTTTCAACTAATTCAACTCTAATTGAAAGCCCATGGAAGTACCTACATACAAATTCATTCACTTTTCGTGGAGAAAAGTTAAAGTCAAATAAAGTTACGTTTTTATGACAATGTAACGTGTTTTGAAATAAAATTACGCGATTTTTCAAAATTGCAATTTCGCGGCTATTTAATTTCGCGGATTTGAGTTGATGACAAAGGAATTTCTTAGACACCTTCCGATTACCAAGGAGGATTGGCTCCCAGAGTGCACCACCGATATTCTGTCCCATATATGGGTATGTCGTAATACAAAATTCGAATTCAAACAGCCGCCATTTTGTTCACTTCAACATTTAAATCGTGAATTTTGGTCTTATTTCCAAACGAAAAATTCCAAAACTCACAAGAAATGATCGAGATATTGGTTCGAATCTTTTGAACTGTTTATTTTGAATTTATAGTCGGTTTTAATTTCAGAAAATAACGACATTTCGACGTTTTCATTGTTGGAAAATATCGAGTTTCGATCCTGGGAGCCAATCCTCCTTGCCGATTACCGTGAATCAATGCGCATGCGTATCTGGCTATTTTAGCCGTTCAGAATCCTAATAATGTGTGTGTATTTCCCACGTTTAGGGCATTTATTTGAATATTCTTGAATGGCTTTTTCAACTTCAATTGGTAGGATCTCATTGTCGTCAACAGTTCTTGCATTTGTTGGCCTAATAAGGTAGAAAGCAACTTACTTTTTCACCCATTGGAATACATGTAAAATTTACAAAGTTCAAATCATAATTTCTCAAATCCCAGCCCATCGAATCCTCGCATCCATTCATATCCCTGACACTCCTACTAGCTATTACCAAACATTAATTGTCAAGACATGTACACATATACGTGCCATACATCTACAAAGTAGCAAACTAGTGTTTTAAGTACTACTTTTCCTATACCATGAACAAAACAAATCTCAAGTAGAAAAGTAAAGTCCAATAAAGTTACGCTTTTATGGCAAAGTCACGTTTTTTAAAATACCTACATAAAATTCATTCATTCTTCGTGGAGAAAAGTTAAAGTCCAATAAAGTTACGTTTTAATGGCAAAGTAGTACGCGTTTTGAATATGCATACATAAAAAGCATTCATTCTTAGTGGAGACAAGTCAAAGTCCAATAAAATAACGCGTTAAATGCAAAGTAACGTGATTTAAAAATGCAAACGTATAAAAGTAGATTACTCTTCATGAAAAATGACATAGTCCAAGTAGCGCTTTTTCGAAAATATTATCTGACCATTGTTTAACAAGTCTTCCTCACATAAATTGTCTTCGAATTGTTACTTGTAAAAGAGACTAAAAATGCGTTACTTTTGAAATGTCAATATTTTCTGTCCCTAAATCCTGACATAAGATTAGACGCAACTCAGAAGTTGCGCTTGCGCAAATTGTCGATACGCAAACGCAACGTGAAGTGAAACTCCTGGATGTTATCTACACTAGTATTTACTCTACTTTATACTAGTTTCTTTTAATGCCTTGAAATATAAATACCTTGATTCACTGAAGTCGGTGCATATCGAAAATTACAATATACTGTACCTTCACATAATAGTTGACACCTCTCCCACCACCTCGAGACAGATGCTTGGGTTATTCCAAATAAGTCCCTATTTTTAAGTTGCCTGTTGCAAAGAACCTCAAAGTTGTGCCCATTTCTAGCGATGCCGGAATGAATGTTGCGTTTCGTTTTTTTGGATTTGCGATCAGAATTAGGATTTAATTATAAAATTCGAAGGTTTTAAACACTCCTCATACCATTAACGATTCCTTTGATTTAAACACTTTCGAAAAACATAATCTAATTTTTTATCACACAGTCGCCTTAAGAAAAGAACATACTAACGCAATCAATAAAGAAACTCCTAGATTGACACATTTAAAATAGATAACAATTGTCTTAAAGATGGGAAATATTTGCGATTGATTTGCGGCAGGGAAAGAGCTGTCGCAGCTTTTTGGTCAGTTGCGATTGAAATATCTTCCCATTTGCGATTGCGTTGCGTTGCGCCGAGCGGATGATACAAATCCTGATTGCGATTCGCTAAAACTTGCGTTGCGTTGCGGTGCACTTGTTGCGACGAGCAGGTGATGAGGCCTCAGGACTATAAGTCTATGAGTATGCAATCAATTTTCACAATGATTATCTATTGATTTATATTGGCACTTTGATGTTTTTAAATCTAGAGTTCATAAAAAATTATTTTCCATTATTGGCTCAAAATCATCAATTTTAAGACATGGATGCCTGCTGTGATGCCTACTGTTGCCTTCTGGCTCCCTCCTCCATTTTCTTCATGCAAGACTCCATTGCAGCCACATTCAAGGACAAAACTGACATCAACGATACGCTCAGTGACATCCGAAATGGTAGGAAATCTTTTGATGACTTCCCAATGATGAACGTGGTATTTACACTGGGAAAATGGTGGAGCCTGGATAATCGACGTTTGTTTTTGAGCAAGCAGTTGCAAAAATCTGGCTTTTTCCAAGGCCTCAATCATTTTATATTTCGAGAGACTCGAGTAATGCATGGCCATTTGACAATTTTGCTTTGCTTCATTTGAAATGCCAAAATAGAAATGACAGCCATTTTGAATGTTTTCTTAAAAAGCAAGTTATTGTTACAGGTGCAACTTATTGATAAGAAAGATATTCCGGAAGAGGAATGGGATCGAAAGTTTACAACTCAAACTCATGGCCAAAGTGTAAAAATTCGACATAGGGGTCGTAATGTGGACAATTCTGAATCTGGTTTTAATTCAGATGAATGCAGTTCTGACGAATCAGATGGATACGAGTGCCCTGTAGATTACTGTGATAGAGTTTGCGATACCGCCAGAGCGTTACAACAACATCAAGAATCAAAGGGTCATTTCGTATATGATTCCGAGTCTGACACGGAAGGTTACGAGTCCCCTGTAGATTATTGCGATAGAGTTTGCAATACTGCCACAGCGTTACGGCAACACCAAGAATCAAAGAGTCATTTCGTAAAGGATTCCGAGTCTGACACGGAAGGTTACGAGTCCCCAGTAGATTATTGCGATAGAGTTTGCAATACTGCCACAGCGTTACGGCAACATCAATAATCCAAGGGTCATTTTGTATATGATTCCGAGGCTGACACAGAAAGTTATGATTGCCCGGTATATCATTGCAATAGAGTTTGCAATACCCGCAGGGCGCTTCAACAACACAAAAATGCACCTAGCATTTTTAAATCTGAAAGGCAAGCTTATTGCCATATACCTGTTTAAGACTTAGGAATAGGAGTATTGTCATGTATATTCTTATGGTTCAACATTTATGTAGCTAAACGTGCTAAATGCTTGAGGAAGAATCACTTGTTGTTTGTTGCAATATATAGTCATATGTAGGAATTACAAATAATGTTTTTGCTTCATTTCAATTTCCAGCAATAGCATGCATTGATGAACCTTTCATTTATTTCACATACACAAAGGCACTTAAATAAAAATAATAAGAGGGAATTCTGTCTCTCGCAAATAAACTCCCAAGTGTGAAACAGCGAGAAAACGTGTACATGTGTGACTAAACCACATGCGTTATTCATTGAAACATTTTTTTTAATTCAATGGGCATTGTAATTTTTATGGAATATAATTACAAATGTGCAAGTTCTTTTGATCAGCATTTATTTTGATAACTATGTACTAAATAATCTATAATCTACTACATTGCTTGTAAATATCAATGAATGTTGTGTAAGTATATATATTATAATAATTATAAAAACATGAACATATGGAGGCTGCTCTGTAAAATGATTACAATAACATATAGGCTACAGTAAAACCTGTCTTAAGTTAAGGTATGAGGTATTCAAATCTGAAAGTTCAGTAAACCCTGGGTCTAGTGGAATCCCTTTGTTACCACTAAATAGTGTTTACATTATGGAGGTGTGTTACATTAAGTAAATGGGTTAACAAAACTTTGAAAAGTGTTCCTCTTACAGAGGTGTTCCACTTGACAGGTTTTACTGTATTTCTCATGTATTGTCACATATTTCACTTATTTTCACATATTTTATAACTTACTGTAGAGACACTTATTTTGATGCTACTTTATTTGACGGTTTTGCTCAATTTCAATTATTGGCAGCTATTTAATTTGGTGGATTCAGAACCGAAGTTTAATTTTTTGTCTTTGTTTATGTCATTAGGACAGGAATTTACTAAGATATTTTCTGTATTTCTTTTGAAATAATGTAGAATTGATGCATGTTGACAGTAAAAGGGGCCCCAGGAGTTTAATTTCTGAAGTGCATTGGACAAAAATTCCAACTGAAATTTGACGGATTTTTAATTTAGCAGATTTTCTGATTCCACCAATCCGTCAAATTAAAAGTGGAGCCAAATTAAGTCTACCTCCAGTATTTTCACTTATTTCACTAATTTTTCAAGCAATTACTCCATTCACTTAAAAATGAATTACTTGATTTGCATTGTACAAAATTGTAATCAAAATGAAGGCTTTACTCTGATGTGTGCGTATTATAAATACATATAATATGATTATATTCTCAACATTAAACATCCAACTCATCAAAATATACATATGTTTTAACCAAATATATAATCATTACATTATTTTACAATATTACTTCACAAAACAGTCAACTAGTGATCAATCAACTACCTACATGTAAATATAAGTAAATTAGTATGGAAATATAAGTAATTAGTAAATGTAAAAGTAAACTAAAAGTACTTATATTATATGGAGAAATCTTAATGGACCAATTCAGTAAATCATGCCATCTATTTGTTATGATGTCATTCTAACAGTGCCACCTATTGGTAATGATGTCATTCTTACAGTGCCACCTATTGGTAATGATGCCATTCTTACAGTGCCACCTATTGGTTATGATGTCATTCTTACAGTGCCACCTATTGGTTATGATGTCATTCTTACAGTGCCACCTATTCGTTATGATGTCATTCTTACAGTGCCACCTATTGCTTATGATGTCATTCTAGCAGTGCCACCTATCAGTTATGATGTCATTCTCACAGTGCCACCTATTGGTTATGATGTCATTCTCACAGTGCCACCTATTGGTTATGATGTCATTCTCACAGTGCCACCTATTGGTAATGATGTCATATAATTTGATTTTGTTTACAATCATTCCTGCCTTCAAAGTATGACATCATAAATCTAGCCATTTTACAATATTTTCTTTCATTCAATAAAAGAGGCCTTGATTTATTGGAAAGGCTCATTAATAATATATAGATTTAACATATAATTACGCTAAAATACAGATATACTGACTAGACTAATTTACACGGTTCAAGAAAGTGCAATATGAAAATATATGTCTTCTTTTAGTACATTTCAAAAGTATGGTTGATTTTTACATGGATGGTGAAATTCAAAGGTATTACTTTAAAGATTTGATCAAACATCAAAATTCAATTCCTCTTTAAAATATGTCTATTGAAGTTCAAAGACTTCGACACATTAAATTTCAATTCTTGCACCTTCTGTTCCATATCTTAGATCAGTATCTACTGAGTACAATTGAAAATGTGAGGGAGTGTATCAATTAACAATAAATAACTCAAGAAATTATATCAGGGGATGACTAATTATGAGAGGTCACTTTACAACTTAAATGTGCATGGGGTATGTTGTTTTCCACAAATTGCAGGAATGAAAATCATTTTGCCATCACTTATATTTAAAGGGGAATGGTAACCCAAATCATAATTGCCTCTGTTATTTATTGTAAATCATTATATTGATACATTCCCAAGACTAGACTAGACTACTTGTATAGTAAGGCAGACAGATTTGTAGATTACATTAGGTAGATATTGAGATCTACAGTATATTAAAATGGGCAGATCTTTTGACTATATTTGGTAGATTCTGATTATATCCAGAAAGACTAGACTATATAAGGGGCAGATCTACTGACTACATTGAGTAATAATACTCAGAAAGACTAAATTATAAGGGGCAGATCTATTGACTACATTGGGTAATTAAACCCAGAAAGACTAGACTATATAAGGGGGCAGATCTATTGACTACATTGGGTTATTATACCCAGAAAGACTAGACTATAATGGGGCAGATCTATCGACTACATTGGATAATTATACCCAGAAAGACTAGACTATAATGGGGCAGATCTATTGACTACATTGGGTAATTATACCCAGAAAGACTAGACTATAATGGGGCAGATCTATTGTCTACATTAGATAATTATACCCAGAAAGACTAGACTATATTAAAGTGGGCATATCTTTTGACAACAATGGCTATATTATACCCAGAAAGGCTATACTATATAAGGGGGGGGGGGGGGCAGATCTGCATGTATATCTACATATATGACCTATATCTTTCCACTGACTACATTAAAGATTTGATAAGGCCAGACTCTTACATCAAATGTGCACCCCCTTTCATTCTCTCTATTTCCCCAACTACTGTACCACCTTTGTGTGAGGATGAGATAAATGAGGGGGGGGGGAAGCAACAACAAAAAGATTTGATGTAACTTACATTTTGATTAATGGTTACCTATATAGAGTAAAACCTGTATTGCGGAATACCTCTAGTAGTGAATACTTTCCAAAGTCCTGTTACCCATTAACTTAACCTCTTGAATCCCAGGCTCTAAAATTGGCATGAAACCAGAGAATTTTTCATTTTTTGCCACCTTTTGACATTTTATTACATACCTATACAACTTTAGATGCTCAGCTTAGTTAAATTGGACAGCAGAGATCATTTCTACACGTTTTAAAACAATTTTTGTGTAAATTGGATGAAAATTGTTCAAATGAGAGCAATTTTTGTGAAAAATTTTGTGACGGATTTTCTCGTCCCTCTGGGCACCAGTCTTATTTTATTTGTGACAGATATATCCGTCACTCTGGGTATTCAAGAGGTTAATGTAATTTTTACACACCTCCCTCATACAGTCTATCATGGAACCCAATCACTTGTACGTGTCATTCTAAGTACTAAAGGTGTTCCACATGTACAGGTTTAACTATTTTATGCCTTACACTGCCATACTCTCTTGTGCAGAAGTAATGTACAAAGCCTGTTTGAGGTGAACATTATAAGGACTTAAAGAGTTAACATTCACTTGTGTTCACATAATGAGGTTCTGATAACTAAAATACGAATATGAGAAACTATATATAGGCCTAGTATCCAAATATGGAGGTGAACATACACATATAAAGGTTATACTGAATTATGTTGACATTTTTGTTATGGATGTAAATAACTCGATATCAAAACAACCCACCTAAAGAGATGGCATTTGCTGAACATTGTATAATAAAACAAATAATGGAGTAATGATATGTCAGTTGCATGTATAGCTAACCATACATAGGTTTAACATATGCCAGCGTGTACAGTGACTTGATACTCATTGTATCTCACTTTTTACAATAGACACATCTGATATACAAAACACACCTGTTTAAAATATTGCAAATTGCAGGAAGTTATGAATTTCGCAATCTAAATTCACCAAGAAAATCACTGAATTTACCAAAACTATCAACTATCAACTAGAAAACTATCAACTAGAAAAGATTATTATATACCCAATATGTAACACTAATCCTGATTGATCAATACCTAGTCACGTGTTCCGAAATAGATTTACTATTTCCCTCGGAAAGTTATATTCCCTCAAATGTGACGTCAGCGGGAATATACATTTGAACTATTGCCCGCTGACAGATTGCAACTTCTATTACCCTTGGAAACGTCTGCGCATCATCACTGAGCAGACAAAAAAACAGAAAAATGGAGGATGAGCACAAACACAAATCAACTCCGTTCACCATGAAAGACGTGTGTGAACGATACAATATAAGCAAGGTGTATAAAATTCCCTAAGCTCAATACGTCTGTGTAATTTCAAGTGTTATGATAATCTATTCCGCGTGTTAAACGCGATTGAATTTGTCAAGTGAGAGTCTCAGCGTCAAAAAATTCTGTTGAGCATCTGATGATGTCACAGCTTATAATGCTAACAATGGACCCGGGGAGGGGGCTTTCTAAGCCTTTTTGGCCTTCGCAGAGGAAACGGGACAAGAGTCAGTATAGGGTATATAATAAAACAAATAGTGACTGCCTAATTTCGAGCAATAGTGTAAATGATTTCCCCTTGGGAATATCCTCTACAATGTACTATTCCCTCAGCCTGCGGCTTCTGGAATAGTACATTGTAGAGGATATTCCCTCGGGGAAATAATTTACACTATTGCCCTCAATGGCAGTCACTATTTGTATAATATTTCACACAGAAAACCAAGATTCACAAAGACAACACTATATGCTGCTACTTTATACAGATATATGATGTGTACCTTGTATAATCATAAACATGTTAACCCATAGGATATTCTTATTTAATCCTATAGAAAAACTAAATAGAATGTTCAAAAAGTTTCCTGAAAACATTTGGAAGAAATAAAAACTAGGTGCAGTTTTCCTGAAACTTCTTGAACACCTTATGCATGTCAACCTACTTCAGTACCTAATCTTACTACCCAGCAGTATAAACAATGTTATAAAATATACATCTTTTGTTAAACAGAATATTTAAATCTATTAAAGTTCCTCTCTAAAATCATCTAAAAAACAATTAATAAGATCTCGTACAAACTTCTGGCACAACTCTCTAATATATAGAAGTGTCACTGTCACAAAATGGGTGACAAACATGCATGGTGGACATAAAATAGAAAAATAACTGAATGAACAAAATGTTTTGTGTACTTAAGTACCCTGTATAAAAAAATGAACAGTAAATATTCCATGTACATGTGCATGTGGTGGGAATAGTTTCAAGTTGCATGCAATTTTGTTCCAATACTTCCTTCTTATCATAGTCAGGTGCAAATCATGGTGACAAGGGGGTGATGACATTCAGTACAACCATGCATAATTTAAATCCCGTTCTTAAACATGGACCATTATTGGGAACTGTATCCTTTTCACTGATTATCACATTCAGTTTGATATACATCATATATTTCATCTATAATGATTCTGCTCATAGAATTTATAATCTGCAAAGTATCATCTCCCTCAAATGCTCTCATTCTGCCATGTATAGATAAGCACCACGCATCACATCTTTATTTGTTTTGTTTAACAAGGGAGAAAAATACACCTTGCTCATCTTTTAGTAGATTTGTTGGACTGTCATATTCCACTATTCTACCCTGGTCTAGAACTATGATTGTGTCACTGGTGAGGATTGTAGCAACGCGATGCTGGAAAAAACAATGATGCACATCTTAATTTATATTCGATTAATATTTGATCTATTTAACAAAGAATACTACATGTACTGGTCTAAAACTATGATTGTGTCACTGGTGAGGATTGTAGCAACGCGATGCTGGAAAAAACAATGATGCACATCTTACTTTATATTCGATTAATATTTGATCTATTTAACAAAGAATACTACATGTACTGGTCTAAAACTATGATTCTGTCACTGGTGAGGATTGTAGCAACGCGATGCTGGAAAAAACAATGATGCACATCTTACTTTATATTCGATTAATATTTGATCTATTTAACAAAGAATACTACATGTACTGGTCTAAAACTATGATTGTGTCACTGGTGAGGATTGTAGCAACGCGATGCTAGAAAAAACAATGATGCACATCTTACTTTATATTCAATTAATATTTGATCTATTTAACAAAGAATACTACATGTACTGGTCTAAAACTATGATTGTGTCACTGGTGAGGATTGTAGCAACGCGATGCTGGAAAAAACAATGATGCACATCTTACTTTATATTCGATTAATATTTGATCTATTTAACAAAGAATACTACATGTACTGGTCTAAAACTATGATTGTGTCACTGGTGAGGATTGTAGCAACGCGATGCTAGAAAAAACAATGATGCACATCTTACTTTATATTCAATTAATATTTAATTTTTTTAGAAAAGAATACTACATGTACTGGTTTTGGTGGCTGGGCAATAGCATTATCAGTCACAAGTGGGGAATATATATACTACTGACAACTAGACAACAGCAACGCCAAAGTGTAGCAAATCCCATTGAACAGCCATGGCTGGCACTTTTACAAACAAAGTATATAGCAAAAATCGTAAAATAGCATATAATAAATGGCCACCATTTTCAAAATAGCCATACTATTTCACTGGCCAAATTGTCAACAGAAAGTGTAATATGCTTCTAAGTAGGCACATATAATATTTCAACAAAATCGCACATAAGTTCATGTCCACTACTTTTCAAGTTACAGCAAAAATCGCAGATTAGCCTGGAAAGGCCACCATTTTTCAAGATGGCTGCCATGTGCTTCTTTAATATCTACATTTCTAGCTTATTATATAATGTCCTATATAATTTTTTTACATTTAAAACATATTGCTATTACAGTTTCACATATTGTACCTAAATTACTGTAAAATCGGCACTTTGAAATGAGCGGTCATTTTGAAAATCGGCTTTCGAGCAGAACTTCCACCTCCATAGAGTATATGTGTACAAAATCGGGATAACGGTATTTGAGGCATTCCCTATATCCCTCTGAACTTCGTTCGATGGAATAATTAGAATGTCACAGGACACATTAGACACTACAATACACTAAACTACACTTCAACACGACATGTATGGAAAGACATGTGATTTGAGACTTACAATTAACAACACATACAAAGTGTGATGCTTCTTGAAGGCGTTACAAATAAACTGTCTCAAAAGAATGTATATCAACTCACAGCAATCGTCAGTATTGTCCTGTCTCCAAAGTGTTCTGCTACAACTTTCTGAATCAGCTGATCCGTCTCCATGTCAACAGATGCTGTGGCCTCGTCCATCACCAAGACGGCAGCGTCACGGAGGAAAGCTCGTGCAATGCAGAAAAGTTGTCTTTGACCAACGCTAAAATTCTCACCTCCCTCAGATACTTCATAGTCTGAAATACAAAGTGACAAATCTGAGAGAAAAAACAACAAAGGAAAGTGAACAGGCAATACCAGAATCTTAAAATAGGCTATATAATATATTATACTGTACTTCTACTTAATCTGGCGGCCGTTTTAATTTAGTGGTTCCACCAAGTCCGCCAAATTAAGTAGAGGCCGAAATCCCCAGTCATTTTAGTACCATGTAAATTAGTACCATTTAGTGCATGGTATTATTGCAAGTCCACCAAATTAAGTTGTCGCCAAAAGTTCAAAACAGCAAATCCCATGGAAAAAATGGATGATATTAAATGAAAAGAGACTTACTAAGTTTTTCAGGTGAACTATGTATGATGTCTTTTAACTGGGACACCTCCAGAGCTTTCCACAACTGTTCATCTGTTTGCTGATCAAATGGGTCCAAGTTGTATCTGACAGTTCCTGCAAACAGGACTGGATCTTGAGGAATGATTGACAGCTTAGATCTTAATGTGGTAAGGGGAATTCTATTGATGTCAATGTCGTCTATCAAAATCGTACCACCACATGTTTCAATGATCCGGAACAATCCTAAGGTCATGGAAGATTTTCCACTTCCTGTTCTTCCACAGATTCCCACCTGAAATCAAAAGAAATTGCAACTGGAAAAACAGCAACACCTTTCAGATCATTGAAGGTCAAGGTTGTCAAATCAAATGTCATATGACAAATCAAAGGTTAATATATCTGGCAGGACAATATTGAATGCAAATAGCTTACATTATGCCTATTGCCAATCAATATGACAGAGAATTCACTCAAGAGATTTTGAAAACAGAACATATGCAAAAAGTCATATGACAAATCAATGGTCAATACATCTGGCAGGACAAAATTGAATGCAAATAGCTTACATTATGCCATGGGCGTTCAAGAGATATTTCTATTGCTAGCCCATGATTTTGTAAATCCATATGACAGAAATTTTGAGAAAAAATATATACAAAAAATGTGTTCAATTGAGAAAATGTCCAAACATGCCCATAATATCAGATCATGGACTTAATTTCAATTTACAATTTCCTCATTTAAAATATCTCGAGTTTATCGTCCAATTTTTAATTTTCAATTTCACAACTTAAAATTCTCTGACTTTTCATTGGCCTCTCTCAGATTTCTTCAATTCCCATACTAATGTATCAAACAGTTTTCAAGGAAATTCTGAAACTAGACATTCAAAGGCAAGGAAAACCATTTTGTTTCCCTGACTTTTCTCACTATGGCAACATGGTGTAGCTTACCTTTTCTCCTGGTTTAATGTTAATATCTACATTGTGGACAACAGGATCTAATGATGAGTCATATCGTAGCGACACATCCTGAAACACTATCGCCCCCTTTTCTGGCCAACTCTCTGGGGGAGTTATTCCAGCTGAAAATAGATTATTTAATAATTTTATTTAAAATGCCCTATTCAGAAATGAAACTTAGTTCCATAATCATGGTGGACAAACATCGACCAGAAGCTTTTGTAAATTAAGATTCCTAAACGAACTACAAAACAGCAACTCCACGGAGTAGCAAATCCCATCGAACAAAAAATGGGTCACTAGTCCCATGTACGAGGTATCAGTATATAAATTTTGAACCAATTCCATCAACTGGTATATAAATCATCAAAGATTATGTTTTTTTCGAAAAATGACAGCCATTTTGTAAGTCAGGTGCCATTTTGGAAATTTCTTCTTGGGCTGTGCTCCTTTGTCCCTTGGCATCTGTATACAAAATTTGAACCAAATCCGTTGACTGATATTTGGGTTATCAAAGATTACATTTTTAACAACAAATGGCAGCCATTTTGAAAATCAGCTGTCATCTTGAAAATTACCTCTCAAACAGAGCTCCTTTGTCCCTAGGCCATAGCATATAAAGTTTGAACCAAATCTGTCCATTGGTATTTGAGTTATCAAAGATACGTTTTTTTATGAAAAATGATGGCCATTTTGAAATTTGGAGGCCATTTTGAAAATTCCTTCTAGAGGAGAGGTCCTATGCCAAGAAGGCATAAGCCTATAAAATTTGAACTAAATCTGTCAACCGGTATTTGAGTTATCGCCTGGACAGACAGACAAATGGACGGACAGCTTTCCTATATTCCTCTCGAACTTTGTTCGGTGGAATAATTAGTGTTACCATCACTGGCGAATCTGGGAGGTATCTGCATCGGTGCCTGCCCTCCCCCCCTTGGGTGGGCAAAGAAAAAAATTGGGCCAAAAAATGTCTTAAGGCCTCAATAAGTGGGCATTTTAGGCCAAGTTATGAAGAAAATTGGCTTAAATTGGCCCAGTTTTTGGTTTTAGGGGCCCAAAATTCTAATAATTTTTCTTAATTTTTCTTTCCCTGATCATAGATATGAAGACAACAAAGAAAGATAAGACAATCAAATACTGCATTGAAAATTATTTTGTAGAAGTGAAAAGATGGTGTTCATAGAATCGGAAAACTTGTGTTCAATACAAACTGTAAACAAAGATGGCATAATATTACTGAAAAGTGGCAACACAACAACACTAAATAAAATGCTAATAAATCCAGATTTTCATTGATCTTCAAAATTGATTTTTATTTGCTTGTTTTTGTAGAAAGTGATTTTACTGCCTTTAAAAAAGGTGCAAGTAGTTCTCTTATATGAATTAAAATATGTCAGGCTTACTTAAGTTGAGCTATTACAGCTAGCCTTTAAATAAATCTGGAAGCATATTTTCAACAATCTAAATTGATTTTCACTTATAAAGTATCAAGCCACGGGTTTGAACTCTGGAGTAGAATTTGACTGGCTATAATTACTAAATACAAGATTTCATGACTGCTTAGAAGTGATTTAATTTCAAGCCCATACTGGTAGTCAATCCAATGATGTCAATACTTCCATTGTTCTATGATTTATTTCATCCTTGACAGCACATTAGTTGATGTGTTAACTATTTTTCCAACAAAGAATTTATTGATCTGAAACTAATTAGGAAAACAAAAAAGTCCAATGAATGGATAATACCTTAAAAGCTTCCTGAAAATAGCTTCGCTATGTCTTATAATGAGAAATAACTTAGAAAAAGAATCTAAACATGGCTAATAGGCCCGAGGCAAAGAGGATATCAAACGACTTGGGACACAATATCCCAGATGCGAGTAGAAATAATCTTGATTTACGTCATTGAAAATTCACAATTCAATTTAATTTTCTTCGAAAATGTGACTTCTAGGCCGGGGAGATTCCCCATAGAGCCCATGTTGTAAAACCACAAAAAGTGAAATATCTTTTCTTGTGTTGGGCAGATAATATTTTCTTTTACTGGACATATTTTAATTTATATAACTATTTGATACATAAAGGTAATATGAAAACTGAACCACCTGGTGGTGAAACTGGTAACTACCTACTCGCATCTGAGTAATTGTTTTGGTGGGGGTGGGGGTGAAATTTATTTTTTCTATATTTCATTATTGTTTACAGCCAAAATACTACAAAAAGACATTAGATTAAAATATTTAACCCAAAATACATCTCGTGTTTATGCCTAAACATAATAATCAATGACACAACAAAGTCCTGCTGTTAAAAGCAGTTCTGTGCTAATAATCATCTAACATAATTTCTGGTAAGACAATTTAGAACAAAGAACTGCAGTTTAGTATTAACAAACTTAACTTGAATGTGAAAGAAATTCTGAATGCCAATTGAATTGCTATGATTGCCATTTAAGGGAAAGATGAATTTGAACAGCATGTCACAAAGGTTGGAAATTTAATATTCAATTCTGTATGTAAACATTAAGACTTTCCTTGAAATAATTATTATTAAAAAAGATAATTTCTCAATGAAACATATTATTTTTCCTAAATTAGATTAACACAAGCATAGTATTGTACTTATTCTACCTGGCATGATTTATGCACTGGCATTTTCAGAGAATTTATAAAACAATAAATCATTGTTTGAAAACCTCATTTTTGTATATTTATCTCATATATGTGTGATATTCAATTTGGTAATGACCAATGTATTAGCATCGTGAGATATCACAGCCTTCTCTCAGTTTCCATCTAGAACATTCTTGTGCATAGCAGAGATGGTCTGAGTATCAGAATGATGTATTAGCATGATTTGCATTGTGTAGAAACAACAGACTTGGCACAGTCAGTCATCTTGACACAACTGTCTTTGGTATCAGTGATTGTAGTTCCATAAATTCTATTATAATATTTATATCAATTATTCATTTATATTACAGTTTTCAGTGCAGATATTTCTATATCAAGTGGAATTGTACTCATAACCTCTAACTCAGCCTAGTACATGTAGTAAGAACAGCATGGCAAAATGTAAAAAATATCAATGTAATGTGTCATTTCCTGAAGATCTAATTATCCGTGTTGATAAACGATCTTCTTTTCAAAGAGTCTAAATAATGCAAAAGCAAATTTCCATGTAATATTTCCAGAGAAAGAACTATTGTTTGGAGTAAGAAGAGGTTGAAATTACAATGGAAGCCTACTTGAATAAGATCTTCCTAATTCATGACCTGTCTTCTTCATTATTACAACAACAAAAAATTGTGACACTTGTACACATTATATCTTATCACCTTTATCCACCTGAATTCCTGAGTCTGAAAGAACCATTAGAAGAATTACATCTCACAATCATTCTGATACTCATAGCATCTTTTTGTTTCACTTGAAATATGCTAAGAACAGGGCTGAGAAGAAATGAGATGTCATGGTTTATCATGATGTCTCACATTGGTGTTTTACAATGCTGCAATATCCATGTATCAAAGATATTGTGATACCGGTTTCTTTCTACTACAAGTCATATTGCCCTCTAACTATTGTGGATGTCTTAGTCTTACAATTTTGCATGAAACATGGAATAATGTTAGCAACTTGGCTGACTTAACTGAGTAATTCTGAGTACATACTAAGTATGTGAATGTGTAATATGTTCTACAGAGTTTATTGTCTCTAATTAAAGGTTAAACAATTAGTGCAGAGACGTGTTCAACAATCATGGACCTAGTGTCAAAATATAACGAAATTTGAATATTTCATCGAGGCTAACATCTATTTTCATTATCTAGACCCCCTGAATGAATGTTATTTCAGATGAAATTCCTGTAGCTAAAATCTTGAAATAGTATATCTTAAAAATCTATAAGTGGGTTCCTCTTATTGAAACTTTAAACTTAATTTCCACTTCAAAATGCTGAAATACATAGACATGTCCATACAATTTAAGAAAATAGGTCTGACAAAGAAGATGTTAAGCCAAACATTGCACCGATATCTCAGAAAAAGTGAACTTTTTCAATTTTTCTCTCTACAGGCCCTGTTGCCACTTTAAATTTTTCCATGTACCTAATTTCAACTATTTTTCTTATACGTTCATACTCATTTGGGCAAAGAAATACTCTAATGGAGTTACTAATCAAACAGTTGGCATCTTAGAAAGATTTAATATTGCTTGTATGTTCAGTTGACATTGTTTTTTTGGCATTGGAAATGGTTGGTGTTGCACAGCCTTTCAAAAACAACCAACCATTGATCCACTTACATAATATTTCCCCTGATTTCCACTCCACTTTTTAAGTTTTACGCAAATCAACACTCTTTAGGAATGGACCATCATTTACCCCTCCACAAATGAAATTAACTTCTTCCACAAATGTTGATACATCATCCATGTCAGACTAATAATAATATTTTTTGTAACTATGTTAAACAACTTCAGTAAATAAAAATTCTTACAATGTAATTAAAAATAGTTAATATTAAGTTAATAGTTAATAAGAAAAGTGTCATTGGAATATTACATTTTCTTTAACGAAGTAAATTAAAATTCTAACAGCCTAAAGGCAATGGATGAGGCATTTGTCTTTTGTCTATTTATTAATGACTGTACATGCTTTATTCCATAAATCTTGCAATAAACTGACACCTCTGCATGACATCTGACATCATTATATTTGATCAGATATATCAATTTTAAAAACAACTCTACCTTATTTGCTGTTTCTTTATTTAATGTTAAAGTGCTATTTGGATAACGTCTAAGTGAACATTTTGTTCATTGACAAAACATAATCAATCAACGTCTACAGAGAAACATGTTCTTCTACCTAGTTGTTGATCACAAAGGTTTTTGAATTTAAATGTTTTTAAGTTTTTATTGCAAAGTTTCACCTTCCAAGAAGGATGTTAAATATGTGAATAATTGAAATGCATATATTATGCATGTTTTACAGTAAATGATGATATTAGCATTTAACCAATCTTAGAATCAACGCAAACAAGCGTTCATAACTCAATAGACACCATGATATTGACAAGATGGATAGAAAGCACTATGTTCTTTATTCTTTGGAGAGCAAGTTTGGGAATAATAGAAAAAGGATTGTATTATAAAAGAATTCCAAATGCTTCAAAAACACATCATATTCTTGGAACACAACATGTAACAAAAGATAGGAATGGAGTAAGAGAATGCCTTGTTAGATGTGCCACATTCAAAACACAGGAATGCAAATCATTTAATTTACAAGTTTTGGCAAATCAAACTTTGTCAAAATGTGAGCTAGTAGGACCGAGTTTGATGAATGTGCCGTATGATGTTGAACCCATTGGAAACAACAAGGACCACTATGAAATAGGTAAATATGTTTTTACATACAATATCACGGAGATGTCATGTTAAAAAATAGGGGTCAGAGCGGTCAATTTTTAATAATTTACATAAGGATTATTTAATTCATGTTTATCTATTTTTATCTATTTTACTAAAGGTGCACTTCCTCATAAATAAATACATATACAGTACATGTAAATAAACAGAGCAATATTTGCCAGTTTCTGACTTTTATGTTAAATATGTTGATTTTATGACAAAATTAATTAGCACATTATAACAATCATCTTGTGTAAATATTTGGGGATGAATACTCCAAAAGTTGTTGATATATGATATATGAACAGGGTGGTGAAATAAAACAGCAACCCTGATGCTATTTTCCTCATATCTTTGTCAATTTAAAAAATTATTCCCTTATATTTGGTACACGTGCACATCATTCAATCTCCTACCAGCCTACAATATTTCATGACCATCAGATTGATAGTTACAATGTAACAGCACTTTAAACAACATGCTCTAGGGGCCAATATTGAGCTGGGGCAAACCTGCACCCGTCGTCCAAAATGTTCATACCTGACTTCTACCTGTGGGGTATGACAAAGATAAAGTGTACAAAAAAATGACCTCAGGACAATAACAGACCTCAAAAAGGAGATCATAATGGAATTACTACTGTAACATCTATCTTTTTTGAAGTTTCTATTAGGGGTGCATAGAAAAACGAGTAATTTAGCTACGATGGGTGAGTTAGGTAGATTCCCTCTGTTTATCAATATATTTTACCAACAAGTTAAATACTATGAGCATATAGAAAATGAAGGAACGAGTTCATTACTAATTAATGCATATGCCGATAGCATTGAACTATCAAAAGTTCATAATCAACCATCATGGTACTATGACATTGATAGAATAATGGCATATGTTCAACCACAAGATACAAATTACATTAATAGCAAACCGCTTGATATTAAGAAAACCCTTGAAAAGAGATATATAAAATATTGGGAGAAAACTGTCAATGATAATAAAGGGAAATTAGAATTTTTGAATAATATCAAACAACGATGGGGAAAAGAACCATATTTGAATTTAATAAAGAATGCTGAACATAGGAATTCTATGACGCGATTAAGAATAAGTGCACACAATTTAGAAATAGAGCGAGGAAGATATACAAGACCAATAATTCCGAGAGATCAAAGAAAATGCAAATTATATAAAATCAATACTGGTACGGAAACTCATTTTATTTTTGAGTGCCAAAAATTGGAAAAAATGAGATATGAATACTTTGATACGTTTAACACGATTTGCCAAAATCTAACTGTATTGACTCCCAAAGAAAAAGCTTATTATATGTTTAATGCTGAGGGTAACATGTGTATCACCTTTGCAAAATACCTTTATGAAATAATTGAAAAGAGATCAACTATATTATCAATATAAATATATACATGTACATGTAGGCTAATAGTAGTTGTTGGTATATAATTATCTAATGATCAGTCAATCACATTATATTGTCATTATATGCCATGTAAAATTTGTATTGTATGTTATTGTAATTGTATGTATAGTTTTAGTTTTATTTTATCATGTTTATTTGCTGTACACTCACCCGAAAGGGATTTTTTAGTACAATAAAGCATTGAATAATAATTGTCAATTAGGCCATACCTACTGAGGATTGCAGTTGGGTCAAAGGCAACTTGTACAGGTTTGCCGAAGCGCGATGGTGGCCACACCCGGGGCATAAGTTTAACATTGTGACTAGTCTGATGGTCATGAAATATGGTAGGCTGATAGGAAATTGAATGATGTACAAGTGTGTAAAATACCAGGGAGTATATCCCTAAAATGACAAAGATAGGAAAATACATGGTTGCTGTTTTTTGACCACCCTGTATTTAGAATGAATATTTCAGGATGGAAAATGCTGAAATTGGCTGATTGAGTCCCTTTATAATTTCTTTTCTGCTAAATTATATCATGGATTTCATTTGTTTGAGTCAATGATTGTCAACATCAACCATTGTTTGATCATAACAAAAGTTTAACGATTTTCATCTTAAAAGTTTTATTTGTAGAATGTGATTTCTAGGTTGGGTCTCTCCATAGAGCCTATGTTATAAAATCAAGATTTGATGTAATTTCTTTCACTGAACACGTTTTAATGATATAAATTGGAAGCTGTATTCTTTTATATAAATTCATCTGAATACAAAGGTCCAGGAATCAGTTGATTAACTTTATGGTTAAAATTACAAAGTCTACAATCACTCTATATCTAGCAATTTCCTCTTATAAACTATATCTAGCAATTTCCTCTTAGAAAGAAAGCAATCAAGCCACCTCTTAGAATTTCATTACATTTACTACTATAAAATAAATGTATAAAAATAAATAATTTTCTTATATTTAAACATGATATCTCAATTTAAAAGTAGTATTAATTAACTTTACAAAATACCTGATACCATTTCCTTTGGGTACATGTATTTATACACATATTCGACCAGCCAAAACGATTTTAATGTATAACAATTTTTTATTTTACATTTTACATTGGCATGCTACCCCTCTATCATGCACTTGTAATAAATAAATATACAATACAAGAGTGTATGATTATTTCAAACTTATAACATATTTTTAAGCAATCAATAACCGTGGGGGTTTTCAACCCCTTAATCAACACTAAATGATTTTTTACTCTCAAGTTGATTATAAATTCCCAATTGTGGATGTAAACAAAGCATGAGATACTGTTACCTAACAGAAAAGGTGGGATATACCAGGATGTGGGCTTGGCTCATAAAACTGCTCTGAATAGGTGCCATGATAACTTAATTATCTCACTAATCAGTTAATGCAGGGTTTGAACAATAAATACAATAATTCAATAGGACTTTCATGTTCTCTTGAATGCTGCTTGTTTTAAGACATGAACAATAAATGTGCTAGTTGATTGTAAGCATAACGCCAAGAAGTATTACAAAGTACAAATAAGATACTGGTCATCTATCATTTGATTTTTAACCTGTAGTTTTAAACTTTTGTTTATATCAAAGAAATAGTAAATAGTAAAAGTCAAGCTGAATAATTAGCTAAACATGCACATATGTTGCATGAATTCTTCAAAATGAAATGTATTCATGTTTTTTAATTCCAGTCTGGGAATGCTTCAATAATGGCACACAAGTAGATGACTCTTGTCATTGTTTAGATGGTTACTATGGAGACCATTGTGAATACATTATAAAAGGTATGATTAAGTAATCCTTTCTATTGCTAATCAATAAACGTTTATGGCTGTTTTGTAAGTAATTAATTAATACTTCTTAGAACTTATTTGGTGTTTTATCTACAATTATCTGATGTTTTGTAGCAATCAAACAATGCACCCCAAGACTTAATTTGTGAACCTAATTTAATTCGCTTTTCAATATCAAATTTGAAATCTTTGAGGCCAGTAAAGATGTACGATCAGGCAGCATGATTGTCTAATTTAATTTAGTTTACTTTTTGATACCTTATTTGAAATCCTTGAGACCAGTTAAGTGATATTATTGTGTTGTATGATTCTCCAAATCATTTTACAGTGAAATTTTGGTGAACAAAAATATATAATAAAATAGTACCGTGGGCACTGGGCTCACCCATGATGTTGCTCAAAAGTGAATGATTGCTAAAATGGCAGAAAATAAAAAAATGATATAATTTTTTGCCGATTTTTTGTAACAAAATTATTTCATACAACTACTGCTTACAGTGACATGGCGTTTTATAATGCAAGACAAAAATGGTGGTCATTTGAACCAGGAGTCATAGGGGTTTTTCTTTATTGATGTTGAACAAAAATAACTTAAAACGGGAGTGAGTGATTGCAAAAGCTCACCATGCTCCCCTTTACTAGCCTCCCGAATGTCACCGTGAAAACTTCCAACTGTTAATTTCATGAAAACAAAGTAAAATCAATTGGCATATGAATAACAATAATAGAAACAATTATTAATGTTTATATTGCTGTCTCAGATTCAATCCATTGCTTCCTTCCTACTTAAATGAATATTAAATGAAGAAATGGGAAGGAATTTGAGTGGGTTTAGGAGATAAAACAGGTAACAGGGTTAACAGGATAAAATAGAGTAATACATGTAAATATGTGAAATGTGAACAAATACCTTTTGCAATAACTTTGCTTCTTTAAAAGAGAGTTTCATTTTCACTTAATGAAAATGATATGATCGAACCTTACGCAATCAGAATCAAAATATAGCAACCACCCCCTCCCCCTAGAACTTGCGCAATCAACAGACATTTCTTCATAGAAATGAAGTTCAACAACTTTAAGAATCATATAAAAGCTTTTCATGTGGCTTTTGAACACATATTTCAACCTTTATTTTTTTCGAGAAATTGCTGACTTTTCTGATACCCAATTTTTGGGCTAGGGTTTAGTAAAAAGGTCTTAATCAAGTGCCCTTAAAATAGAACAGAAACCACAGGCACTAGACAATCTAATCAATTCTAGACAGAAATGGCACAGTATTGAGGAAATGTTTTCAATATAATGATTTACTATTCAAACGGAAGTGCGTATAATGACATTTTGTACTCTGACACCCTTTCCCATCACACCCATGGTGTCTTGAACAATCCCAAGGGGCCGAGTCACATGCCACTCGTAGATATTAGGGGGTCTGGTGAATCAGAAGAGAAAATGATTATGAATCCAATTTCCATTAAGTATGGGTTGGTATACATATATTTTTGAATGTTCTTATTTGTCAGATTCTGAGAATTGATTTGCTTGCTATTTCTTATTTTTTAAATAAAAATCAATTTATGCAAAGTAAATAAAAGTGGCCTTTGACCACCCACCCCCTCTCACTTAATTACTAAGTTCATTCCTTATTGTAAATCAATATATTCAGTAGTTCTATTAAGATTTCTGACAACAGCTAAAACAAGGCACAGGGTGAACAATATCAGTAATCTGGAAACAGCCCTGACCTGAATGTGACCGGAAATATGGCACATACTATGAGGACACTGGAATATGTCTGCCTAGGGGGGGGGGGCATACTTTCGGGACACCCTGTACATGTTTGCAAAAAATAGCTCAGAAGACAACAGAATCGTCGATTTAATTCCTCACTTAAGTTACATAAACGGTATGGGTTAAAGGTGCATATTTTAACTGTTTTTCGAAATACCGTTTATGTAAGTGAGGAATTAAATCGACGAGTCTGTTGTCTTCTGAACTATTTGTTTGCAAATATGTTCATTTTCTTAAACATATGATACTCATACACGTTTGTGATAAAAATGTTGCGGGAATTCTGCCTACAATGTGTGAAATAAGGAAAAAAATGATTGTACCTTCGATGTTCCGACATTTTGTTACTGAAACGGTACCAGCGTAATCGAGTGGATCACAAGTGAATTGGGAATTGTTTATTTGATGTTTCTTGATTACACATCTCTGCTCTTACATATTACTTATTTTGAAATGAGATATTATTTCTACATATTAATGCAATCCCAGCTTAATATTCAATGCTACTTCAGATCAAATTTAGATGTCAAATTGTTGAATTCAGACAAAACTAATGAATTATTCTGTATGATAATCAAAATAATTGTAAGCAATTCACCGAATCATATGCTTATAACATTCCCCCCAAGAGGAGCATTATTATATTATCAGGTAACAAGGATATTCTAATTATCAAAACTACAAAGCATCAGTCAATGATGTTTAATAATAAAATATGATTTACTTAATCTCTTAACCTCTTGATAACATTTACATTGGAAGAGATCTAGAGATAAAAAGACAATACAAAAGCATTTATAAAGCATAATGTGATTAAGCAAATACCTTCCATCAATTTAAAAATTGTGCGAATGTTTTTGAAACTACATGTACTGTTGATATTATTAAAGTTGAACCTGAACCAAATATGAAAAGCAGTAGTTGAGTAATCAAACATTCCATTTTCATGAAAACTAGTGGCCATCTTGAAATAAGCACCCATGTTGGGAATTCCTTCTTGAGCAGAGGTTCCATAAGGGGACAACTTATAACTTACATAAATGAACCAAATCAGTTTACTGGGTTTTGCACTATAAGAGAAATATGTTTCTCCTGAAAATGGTGGCCACTCTTTGTCTTGTATACAAAATTCTTTGACAAGCACTAAACCGTATTATTGTTTATTTTAGACTGTTCGGAGGGTCTCAATATATTTAATAGGAAAGGAGTCTTCTGGGCCAACTACACAGGACTGGACGGGCCATACCAAGTACAATGCGAGACCAACAGATGGCTCTCAGTACTACAGCATCCATTGCCAAAGCAACCAACAAATCATACATGGGCTGCCTATAGAGATGGATATGGCTCCATTGGAAGCAATGATTTCTATATTGGAAATGAAATCCTGCATAAGATGACATCAGCTAGGCCTCATATGTTAAAAATCACTATCAAGCAGCCTGGGTACTGGCCCCCTGATTTCTCTTACAAATATTCCCCTGTAAGCCTTGACTCTGAAACTGATAATTACACTATACACCTTGGAGAAAAACTTACCATTGATTGTTTCGTTCCCGCAAATGAACTAAATCTAACGTGTGCAAATTATACCGACTTGGCCGCAGCTGAAGCTGCAGATATTTTGACTGGGATCGATGGCATGAAGTTCTCCACCTGGGACAGAGACAATGATTTGTTCCCTGGGAACTGTGCAGAGGAAATAGGTGGAGGCTTCTGGTATAATAACTGCACCTCATGCTCTCAAAATGCAACCCATATTATTTCCCCATTAGCTAACTTGGAAGTGATTTGTACCCCACAAAACATATATAAGACATGTGAGTTTGACTATTGTAATGCTGTAGTCAAGATATCAATTAGAGTTCTCTGATAAGCTCAGAATATTAAATGATGGAAACTTGTGAATAGGACTATTCATGTTAATTATGCTTGCTATTGAATAAAATGCCATTGGAACAGATATGCAGCAATTATATGATTGACTTTAATTTTGAAAAACTAAATCAAATTTTGTTTTGGAACATTGCTACCTATGACCTGGTATAGACAGACTATGTATTTTTGTTTCTAAGGAAACATCTGTAGATAATGTAAATAAAAAAAAAATATATGTAGAACGATTCTTGCTGAGATGAATTTTGTTTGAAAATAAATATTAATTTACATCTTAGTATATTAGTACTGTACAGTGTATTGTTTATTTTAAAAAGTGATATTTGGGTAAACTTAAATTGGGAAACAAGTTGCTTAGAGTTCATGTGTGGGGGGGGCATGTGTCATCTCCATATAATTGCCATATCAAAAATTAATCAAAATGTATTTGAAAACAGTACATACATTCTCCCTTTATATCATGATCAATATTTTTTTGAATTTTTGTTCTACATTCTGTTTTTCATATTTTTCATCTGATTATCATTGCATGAAATGGTTATCCCCACTCAGGAGGATACTGCATCATCCCATAGGTTAAATCCAATATTCAATTCATCACTATGTATGAGCTCATTGTACTTACCCTCTTCCCTGACATAGGGCTCTGTGCTGAGTTCTGTGAAGGCAACTATGTATGACCTCATTGTACTTACCCTCTTCCCTGACATAGGGCTCTGTGCTGAGTTCTGTGTAGGCAACTATGTATGAGCTCATTGTACTTACCCTCTTCCCTGACATAGGGCTCTGTGCTGAGTTCTGTGTAGGCAACTATGTATGAGCTCATTGTACTTACCCTCTTCCCTGATATAGGGCTCTGTACTGAGTTCTGTGTAGGCAACTATGTATGAGCTCATTGTACTTACCCTCTTCCCTGACATAGGGCTCTGTGCTGAGTTCTGTGAAGGCAACTATGTATGAGCTCATTGTACTTACCCTCTTCCCTGATATAGGGCTCTGTGCTGAGTTCTGTGTAGGCAACTATGTATGAGCTCATTGTACTTACCCTCTTCCCTGACATAGGGCTCTGTGCTGAGTTCTGTGTAGGCAACTATGTATGAGCTCATTGTACTTACCCTCTTCCCTGACATAGGGCTCTGTGCTGAGTTCTGTGTAGGCAACTATGTATGAGCTCATTGTACTTACCCTCTTCCCTGACATAGGGCTCTGTACTGAGTTCTGTGTAGGCAACTATGTATGAGCTCATTGTACTTACCCTCTTCCCTGACATAGGGCTCTGTGCTGAGTTCTGTGAAGGCAACTATGTATGAGCTCATTGTACTTACCCTCTTCCCTGATATAGGGCTCTGTGCTGAGTTCTGTGTAGGCAACTATGTATGAGCTCATTGTACTTACCCTCTTCCCTGACATAGGGCTCTGTGCTGAGTTCTGTGTAGGCAACTATGTATGAGCTCATTGTACTTACCCTCTTCCCTGACATAGGGCTCTGTGCTGAGTTCTGTGTAGGCAACTATGTATGAGCTCATTGTACTTACCCTCTTCCCTGACATAGGGCTCTGTGCTGAGTTCTGTGTAGGCAACTATGTATGAGCTCATTGAACTTACCCTCTTCCCTGACATAGGGCTCTGTGCTGAGTTCTGTGTAGGCAACTATGTATGAGCTCATTGTACTTACCCTCTTCCCTGACATAGGGCTCTGTGCTGAGTTCTGTGTAGGCAACTATGTATGAGCTCATTGTACTTACCCTCTTCCCTGATATAGGGCTCTGTGCTGAGTTCTGTGTAGGCAACTATGTATGAGCTCATTGAACTTACCCTCTTCCCTGACATAGGGCTCTGTGCTGAGTTCTGTGTAGGCAACTACTCTCTCAACTGTGTTCATCTCCATCTCTGCATCAGCCAAGTTCCTTACTACCCAATTTAGATAGCTGGACACCTAGGTTTAAAAATTACAAGTTTCTTACTCCCCAATCAAGATTGGGACGTCATATTTCGATGACAGCCTGTACCCTTACTGCTACATTGTTCATCACATTTGATAATGATTCTGGTGGAATGATTCTGATTTCTTTTTGGATGTTTTTTTGCTTAGAATGAGCATTAAAACACTCCTTCAAATAGCCACAGAGACAGGATGACGATGGTAGAACAAACACAGATAATCAGGTCAATGATCGGCTAATGATTCAGGAGTTACCTTCCAGAGTTACGCAGGCTAGCCTGGGGACCAAATGATATCCAAATGAAAACACAATGGTCTCAAATTGATTGAGCCCCTCTACACACAACAAAGCCTATACTAGAATCTCAACCAATGCAATTTCTGGAAGGTTTGACCTTTCTGTATAAGGGGGCTATAAGACATTGTGAGGGCCTTCCTATTCACCAGATTTGTCAGCCCATACTTTTTTCTCTGTTTGAAGGACCATTTTTATGCTAAACCCAAGCTAAGAGACCTAGAACAACTTAAGACCAACATCCGAACAGAAATCAAAACATTCTACCAGAAATATCAAATGTGATGAACAATGTATTAGTAAGGATGCAGACTGTCGTCGAAATATGAGGTTACACCGTTGCATTGATTATAGGATATAAAAGATAAAGGGTTAAAGCATCAAAAGGGCAAAACTGAATTAAAAAATGTGTATAGGGGAAAAAACTTTCATGTTTTGACTACAAGACCATGCAAAAAATGTCTGAAAATATTGATTGGTTTGTCTATGCTGTTGATATACTTTTGGGTACGTTTTTTGAGACACCCTATACACTGGAAACATACACGCACATTACATATTGAATAATGGGGTGTTCATACACATTGTTCATACACATTGGAAACATACATGCACTTGCACATAACATCTTGAATAATTGGGTGTTCATACACATTGGAAACATACATGCACTTGCACATAACATCTTTAATAATTAGGTGTTCATACACATTGGAAACAGACATGCACTTGCACATAACATCTTGAATAATTAGGTGTTCATACACATTGGAAACAGACATGCACTTGCACATAACATCTTGAATAATTGGGTGTTCATACACATTGGAAACATAAATGCACATGCACATAACATCATGAATAATTGGGTGTTCATACACATTGGAAACACACATGCACTTGCACATAACATCTTGAATAATTGGGTGTTCATACACATTGGAAACATAAATGCACTTGCACATTACATCTTGAATAATTGGGTGTTCATACACATTGGAAACATAAATGCACTTGCACATAACATCTTGTATAATTAGGTGTTCATACACATTGGAAACAAACATGTACTTGCACATAACATCTTGAATAATTAGGTGTTCATACACATTGGAAACATACATGCACTTGCACATAACATCATGAATAATTGGGTGTTCATACACATTGGAAACACACATGCACTTGCACATTACATCTTGAATAATTGGGTGTTCATACACATTGGAAACATACATGCACTTGCACATAACATCTTGAATAATTAGGTGTTCATACACATTGGAAACATACATGTACTTGCACATAACATCTTGAATAATTAGGTGTTCATACACATTGGAAACATACATGTACTTGCAAATAACATCTTGAATAATTAGGTGTTCATACACATTGGAAACATACATGCACTTGCACATAACATCTTGAATAATTAGGTGTTCATACACATTGGAAACATACATGTACTTGCACATAACATCTTGAATAATTAGGTGTTCATACACATTGGAAACATACATGCACTTGCACATAACATCTTGAATAACCAGAACAACGGCAACGCCAAAGCGTAGCAAATCCCATCGAACAGAGATAGCTGGCATTTTTACAAACGAATAGCAAATATCATAAAACAACACACCAGAAAGAACACCATTTTCAAAATGGTTGCTCACTTGCCAAGGTGTCATCAGAAGAAATAATATGCTTTTAAGTAGCCACCTCTAAAATTTTTGAAAAATCGCACACGTACTTGTAAAATAACACACATAAAAATGGTGGCCATTTTTCAAAATGGCCGACTACTACCCAAAGTTTTATTAGACAATGTGCCATGCTTACAGTATTCACATATCAAATATGAACAAAATCGCTCCACTACTTTTCGAGTTCTAGTAAAATACGTACATGTACTTGCACATAACATCTTGAATAATTAGGTGTTCATACACACTGGAAACATACACGCACTTGCACATAACATCTTCAATAATTGGTTGTTCATACACATTGGAAACACACATGCACTTGCATATAACATCTTGAATAATTAGGTGTTCATACACACTGGAAACATACACGCACTTGCACATACCATCTCGAATAATTGGGTGTTCATACACACTGGAAACATACATGCACTTGCACATAACATCTTGAATGTTTGGGTGTTCGTACACATTGGAAACACACATGCACTTGCACATAACATCTTGAATAATTGGGTGTTCATACACATTGGAAACATACATGCACTTGCACATAACATCTTGAATAATTAGGTGTTCATACACACTGGAAACATACACGCACTTGCACATAACATCTTCAATAATTGGTTGTTCATACACATTGGAAACATACATGCACTTGCACATAACATCTTGAATAATTAGGTGTTCATACACACTGGAAACATACACGCACTTGCACATAACATCTTCAATAATTGGGTGTTCATACACATTGGAAACATACACGCACTTGCACATAACATCTTGAATAATTAGGTGTTCATACACACTGGAAACATACACGCACTTGCACATAACATCTTCAATAATTGGTTGTTCATACACATTGGAAACATACATGCACTTGCACATAAAATCTTGAATAATTAGGTGTTCATACACATTGGAAACATACATGCACTTGCACATAAAATCTTGAATAATTAGGTGTTCATACACATTGGAAACATACATGTACTTGCACATAACATCTTGAATAATTGGGTGTTCTACACATTGGAAACATACATGTACTTGCACATAACATCTTGAATAATTGGGTTTTCATACACACTGGAAACATACATGCACTTGCACATACCATCTCGAATAATTGGGTGTTCATACACACTGGAAACATACATGCACTTGCACATAACATCTTGAATGTTTGGGTGTTCGTACACATTGGAAACACACATGCACTTGCACATAACATCTTGAATAATGGGGTGTTCATACACACTGGAAACATACATGCACTTGCACATAACATCTTGAATAATTGGGTGTTTAAGGCATCAAATGTCTTACATTGGCAACAGAATATTGAGATGCATTTTAGATGCAATAGACTTTGTAATTGTAATTTGAAATGCTACAAAGTATACATAAGATAATGAGAAGTCACTCACCATCAATGCATATGTGATAGAAAGGCCAACAACACCTGGGCTTGCTGCACCAGTAACTCCTGTAGCAACTGTTGTTATGGCAGCAGCAAACACTATGATAGCACCCATGTAGTCCTGAAATCAAGATGGAGTTTTAGGTAGAGCCTGCACCTCAAAAAGTGGGGTGTTCTCATAAAGGAAGAGATAACAAGAATTCAAGCAATATTTTGGAGGCCTGGAAGGTATATGGTATACTTCAAAATATATTTATTCAAGACAGAAATACAGACTAATGAGAACTCATGGTCATCTCTCTGGCAATCACTATTGCAAGTGTTGCTAGCAGTGGATACTGCAGTGACACTCAAACTTTTATTAATTCTTGCATGAATTCTTTTTCACATTACAAGTTCATACAATATCACTGATATTTTTGAAAATAATAATCTAAGCATAAAATTGTAAGTTACTGAGACTAATATAAGTAATGTCAATTAATTGAAAATTAATTGGTTTTATGTGTGTTTTATGGGAGTAGTTAATTGTTGTTACGGTTGTCAGAATTTGATGTAAACAAATAAGTTACTAGGAAACAGAGTTGAATGTAGGTCAACGCACATGCGCAGAAGAACGCCATTTTCCATTCATTTCTTGATACAAGGAGAAAGCAGGTTGTTATCTGAGTGAATCTCGCCCGCCATCCCTCCCCCATTTACCACCCATGAATTATCCCCCAACTAAGGTGAGATCAAGAAATGGTAAGATAGTTATTGTTAGTGGTACATGAAGGTAAGCAACCAAAGTAATCACAATGGTATTGATCAGATGTACTATTCTATTTTTAGCTAATTAGAAAAAATAAACAAAAAATGTGTAACAATAAAAACTACTCCCTAAGAAACCCACATAAACCAAAAAGACAAATAAATGCATTTGATGTATCAATGAGTGAAATGTTTTTTGCTACTTACAAGTCTAATCCCAAGCCATCTATTGGCAGTATTGAGATAGAGGTATGCTGTGTTGTTTGAGTCTATACGCTCATGGATCCTTTCCATAAATCTAGTTTCATCTCTAAAGCAAAATTTGTGAACTTTTTTTTATTTATTCATTCATAATAATGAATGTATATTAATTATATTTAATAATTTTAATGAAACTCTGAAATAACACAGTGATTTCCCGAGTACATATTATGATGAAAGCAAATGGGTGTCATATTTGAAAAATCCTGGAAAGATCACTTACTAACACAGTTGGCATGTGAACTATGAAGTTGCTATTTGCTCAACTATTTGGAATTTCAGTGAAAAGACAGGCACCAAGTCTAAAATTATTTTAATAAAGAAACTACATGTAATGATATTATTTTGAAACATCATTTCCAGTCTCTGCAACTTCTTTAATAATGTCAGTAACAAGCTTTGCTAACTACCTGTAAGCTCTGATAGTTGAAAGGCCTCCTAATGTTTCGGAGAAATGAGCGAAGACTGGAGATTTTGAGATGGTATCACATCTTTGTAGCTCTCTAAAATAAAGGTAGTGGTGGTTAAGTTAATCAAACTTCAAATTTCAAATGCATACTATCAAACTTAAAAGTGAATATATGTACAGTATTGAATAGGATTACATGGTCAGAATAGATGTGAAGATTCAATAGGCTAAGATGAGAAAAATTATCTTTGGTACTAATGTCAATTTAACATGCATCTCAATGAACAATAAAGTTGTTTTCTACCTGATAATGCATTGACACTTGTAAGAGTGTAACAATTTGTCACTACCATCATTAAAATTGTGTTTCCCAACCTTTCTTTAAAAGTGAGTGATTGAATAAAGCACTACTTTAAATGCAACTGTTTATGGAGCATTGAGATAGATGGCGCTTACCTGGATGAGGCACGGAAAAATTTCTGAAGGAAGAAGTAGACTATAAAAACTGGAACAGCTGCGATGAGAAAATAAGGTGTCGCCACTGTATTGACGATAACTGAAGACAGACACAGCAAAATGGTACGCACTAAAGCCTCGAGAGTCATCGGGAGTTTCTGAAAATATTAATTTCAATGTTTGAATTGAATTACAAACTGTTATCATCTTCATATTCACCTCATCTATTATACTTGTAATACTTTATTTATGTCATCTATTATAGAACTTTATTTTATCTATTATACACTGTACTATATTCAACTCATCCATTATAGTACATGTACTATACTCCCCTCATTTATCATAGTACTTTATTTACCTCATCTATCATAGTAATTTATTTACCTCATCTATTATTGTATTTTATTTACCTCATCTATTATTGTATTTTATTTACCTCATCTATTATATTACTATATTCACCTCATCCATTATAGTACTATATTCACCTCATCCATTATTGTATTTTATTTACCTCATCTATTATAGTACTTTATTTACCTCATCTATTATAGTACTTTATTTTTACCTCATCTATTATAGTACTTTATTTACCTCATATATTATAGTACTATATTCACCTCATCCATTATTGTACTTTATTTACTTCATCTATTACATCCTCATCTATTAGCCTATATATATATATTTACCTCATCTATAATACATGTATCAGCTGAGAATCTGTTTAGTATCCTACCCATTGGGGTTGTGTCAAAGAACCTGGAAAACAAAGATTATTAATGAGCATTTTTATGTTTGTGAATGTTCATCTTTTGAGTTCATTAATTTATGCTGATATGTGATATGGAACATTGAAATAAAATGATATCTGTTCAGAGGTTTCCTTTTTATTGTGGTGTTTGTGGCAAAACATGGCAAAAATACGGTAGTGCCAAAATCTGATGTTCACTGAAATGTTTATTATTGAGATTTATCAATAACTGCCACACAGCAATATCTGATTGGTCTCTAAAGAATGCATATACATGTACATAATCATCTCTAACCCCAGCTACATTTGATATGACATATACTAAAGTGTGCTCTCACAAGATATTTTTCTCAAGTTGGTGCAAATAGATTTTCAGGCAGTCCTTGTCAAAATGTCAAGTGGGTTCAATGCCCTCTTGTTTAAGTGCTTGGGAGATCATAATTACAAAGAATTAGAGTGTGACATATCCTACCTCATTGGCGCAAGGACCACATTTTTTAGCATGTTGTTATGGAGGTTAAATGCAGCTCTAACTCCAGCTAATTCTGAGATGAGAGACACACAAAATGCAAGTGTAATAGCTGCTACAGATAACCCAGCGTATCCATTGATGTAGTACTGTGTTGTGGAGTCAATCTAAAATATGGGATGATATATTTTTATGTATTATATATATAAGGGTTATGTACTAGGAGTTTTGGATACATGGTTTATCCCAAGGGAGATACTCATATTTCCCAAGAGATAAACCCTGTATCCAAAACTGAACTTACAAAGAAAAAAAACCTTACATAACAGCTGTATTCCATACCTACCGACATTGTTGGTACATTCTACCTTATACAGTTCCAAAATTCAAAAATGTATTTAAGGTACGCACTTTTTCATTCTTAAAAAATAGTTTTAAAGTTTCAAACAAAAACTAAATACCAGTTACAAATAAAATCTCAAATAATAAATTCAAATTTAAAATACTTAATATAAACTTTGAAGACAAATTTCAGATGAAAAACACCTTAACCTCTTGACTACCCAGAGTGACGAGATTTCTCGTCACCTCAGAAATAACCTTGAAACCCAGAGTGACGAGATAATCCGTCACAAAATTTTTCACTAAAATTGCTCTTATTTAAAAGTTTTTTTATCCAAATTACACAAAATTTGTTTTAAAATGTCTAGAAATGATCTCTGCCGGCTAATTTTTGAATTGAATTGAACATCATCTGTTTTATATGTATGTAGTAAAATGTCAAAAGCTGTCAAAAATGAAAAATTATCTGGTTTCAACCTATTTTCGAACCTGGGATTCAAGAGGTTAATGAAATAGCTTACAACAAAACTTGTGTAAGTACTTAATTACATATAATGAAAAAAGAACAAATTTTTGAAAAATCAATTTCAGACATTAATGGCAGAAAATCTATGACGAAAATCCAAGCTTTCCTTACCCCAGATGAACCTGGTGAAGGGGTGGTGGTCAAAAGCAAGTATGAGTCATTTCCCAGGGTGCCATTCACAGCTGCAGTCATCAAATCATTAGCCATGTTGGCAGCTTCTAAGTTTGACGCAGCAAGTGATGATGCTGTGGACCATGCAGAGAGCCAGAAATCTGTGCCAACAATTATGCTCTGACGGAACAGATGGAGAATGAGGACTCCACCTGCTAGCACTAACCAACACGCCTATAAGATATAGATATACTGCTATAAACTGGATGCGAGGGCTGTCACTAGTATTTTGTAGGAAATCTACATATAAAGTAATAAACATTTAATTGTGGTGTAAGTTGAATTCCAAAGGAACCACCAAAAAGTGTTCCACTTGTGAGGTGTTCCACTTATCAGGCATTCCTCTTGTGAGGTGTTTGTTCTGTAATTGCTTTAATTTAGTTGTGAAATATATTTTATAAGTGAACCATGTTATGAAAATATGTAATGCCTAACCTGCGTGTATGTATGTATGTATAAATAAAGAAATAAAATAATGTAATATCAGCTGATGTTATAATGAGCTAAAATGCTATTTTAAACATGTACCTTGAAATATGCCAGATAAACTTTAGCAGAAACAGATCCCTTTTCCCGCTCCTCTTCATCAATAAGTTTCCCAGTGGCTCCCTCTTCTTTCTCATACTCTGAAAATATTTTGTGATATTGTGCCAGATCAACGAAGTAATGAGGCAAATAAACAACATGATCATTGATCAAAATAAATTAAATCTTTGATGGGTAATGAAAAGCAGTGATCCTAATTTAAAACAATATAGACTAATCCAGTCACTGCCTATTGGCAATGATGTCATTCATATACAGATATGAGATAAACTTATCACTAACTTTAAAATGCTTCAAGCAATTTTGCTTACAAACATTGCTGTCTACAAAGTATGACAACATAAATCCAGCTAGTTTCTTTCATTTGCCAAAAGGGATCAGGGTTTATTGGAAATGTCTTTAATAACAACAAATGATGATGAATTTAGTTTGTAAGCATGAGTGCATAACTGAACTTTGAAAACAAAATGCAAGAATCCATATCATCAGTGCTTAATATATAAAGCTTTTGATCAATGCCTAAAAAGCATGCAGAAAAAGTGTTTCTGTAAAGACTAGATAACGGCAACTCCGCGGAGTAGCAAATCCCAACGAACAAAATATCAATTACCGAATTCCAATCAATTATACTCATTACTTTGGTTGAAAATGAAAAAATTAGATTTTAGAATTGCGAATTCCTGCAAAGCAGCCATTTTGAATTTTCTGAGGTACAAATCTGAAAAATAATACCATAATTGTGATCTACTCCAAAATTCCTTCAATTTGAGTATAATATAGCAATACTTTGAAGGGATCGAAAAATTATTGCGAAATCGTACATTAGACGGCCATTTTGAATTTTACAAGGCTCCAATCAGAAAAAAATACAATATTTGCAATCTACTCTTAATTGCCTTTCATTTGAGTATAATAAAGCTATACTTCAGAAAGATCTAAAAATTAGCGAAAATTTCTGTTTTCCTGTCCCCCCATACATGGCCCCTGGGGGTCAGGATGAAAAACACGGAATATATGTGAAATAGATAAATGTTGTGAATACACTACCAAAATTTCAAACAATAATATTAATTACTTTGGTTTAGAATGAAAAATTTATGATTTTTGCGAAAAAGTCCCGTCATTTTTAAAACGGCGGCCATCTTGAAAAGATTTTTTTTTGCGTAAAACTATTCACCAATATACATCTTTCCACTAAATATGAAAAAAATCTGTCAACTAGTATTTGAGTTATCTTCCGGACAGACGGACGGACTGACTGACTGACTGACGGAGGGCTTCACTATATCCCTAACGAACTTCGTTCATTGGGTAATAAAAGCATTATGGTTAACTTTAGGGTAAGCTTTACATGATAGCATTTCTCAGCTGATTATGCAACATGATCATGACACCATGATCATGACACATCATACATAATACAGCATGATCATGACACATTTCAATGCAACATGGTCATGACACATCACAATTAAACATGATCATGACACATCACAATTAAACATGATCATGACACATCACAATTAAACATGATCATGACATGTCACAATGGATACTTCTGGACATTTCTTAAACCTTGGTTTTCATGTTGCCACCTATTAAATGTGGAAACACTAAATGAATATAGGATTAGCACGTCAATAAATATCTGGACATAGAAAGGTAATTCAGCATTACCCTCCTAATTACAAAGACAGATTGGCCTTGCAACAGTGTAATGAAACATCACATCTAAATGAGCCAAATGTTAAAACTCAAAATCTTTGAATTGGACAGGAAACTATTTCAAAACATCCAACAAACATGACTCTTACAATTACAAGAACTATAAACGATCTGTCTTTGTCGTAAATGGGAACCACTTTAAGGCTGACACAATAAGGTGATTATATGACACTATAAGGCTGACACAATAAGGTGATTATATGACACTATAAGGCTGACACAATAAGGTGATTATATGACACTATGAAGCAAAGCCAAGCTCCTAAATTTACTAATCAGAACTTCTATAGTTGGAAGACTCCAACATAACCCAGCATCTTTAACAGCTTCTGAATTTACATCAACTAATGAAATTCAAAATTAAGAGATGTGGGGAACTATGGTATTAATCCTCCTTTAAGGTGGGTGTAACATCTACCTGGCACAAGACAGTTTTGGCATGCCAATACTACCAAAAGATACCTTCTCCGAGTAAATCAAGCCCAACCTGTTTATTTATAGACTTTGTACGCTGTAGGCTTCTCATCTGAGGAAAAAATATATTGCTCACATTAATAATAGAATCTCACTGTAGTGGAGTTATCTTACTACCTTTTATAAGAATTAGGGCAGAAAAGCAATGTCACCTTAATGTAGGTAATTGTCAGACTTTTAAGGTGAACAATTACCAAGTACAATTCAACAAGCAACATTCCCTCAATGTCCTCTTTGTTATTCATCATTGATTTTTGAGACAGCTTTCTCAAAAGCATAGGCATACTATCAGCTCATGCTCATGTCGAAAGTCAATGATTCTACACTGGATAATGCATGCAAATCAATTTCGGGATAAGAAACCACATGCAGCATACATGTATGTGTAATACCAATATAAGGCATAAATATGTTTGTGTAATCGTGATCTCGCTCCTCTCTATATACATGCACAATCATACCCCCCTTCCACATACCACATGCTTCGTATTTACCTTTCTCAGTAACATTGGATATTAAGCTAAGCTGTGATTGAGAGCGTTTCAACTCTCCCTCAACCTCATCGAACACAGGCTCAAGCTTGAAGACTTTCTGTGGGCAAGAGAAGTCAGCACCTCCCATGGATTGCTGTTAATAAAGCATGTAAAGCAATATGAAGCAAAGCAAGGCATTAACATTAGGGGTCTCACGAGTGCTCGGATTTGCTCGAGAAATTGGTCACGATACGAGCGTATCGATACTCAACTTGAATATCGGTTCGAATTGTATCATATCGTGAGGTAAATATCATTGCTCGTATCGAAATTAAAGATAATGTATCGTGGGACCCCTAATTAACATGCAAAATGTCACCACCTGCCATTTGTTCCAGATGTCATAATTTGTTCCAGACGCCATGTTACAGATACTGTGTTACAGACGCAGAATGCCATCTATTAAAATTTGAAGACAAACGATATGTCGCCACTTCTGGTGGTGACATAAAAACAAAAAGCATTAGCAAAAGCCAAAATTAAAGCCAAACATGATTGTTGCATACCTAAGCATGGGATGGTGTCTAATTCCAAATAGTTAAGAAACTTATAAATTGAATTATGGTTTAACCCCTTCCCTCCCCATATAAGAAGATTTGAATATGCTGATAGTCCTTTCACTTGAATTTGTCAATAATCAACTTTCATCAGAAATGAACTATTTATTTACCACCTGAACCTAAAACAAATTAACTTTTGACAATTTGACACCATTTCTAAGTGTAGAGAAATAATTAAAATGAAGTTACACAATTCCATTAAACAACCACTTAATTAACATATTATGGAATATACGTAGATGTAATCAAATCTTGCACATTTTCCAAAACTGGTAATTTTGCAGTTTTTCTGCTGCGTGACACAACATTCTGATATATGGAGTATAGAAAACAACTCTGTTAATAATGGCAACTAAATAAGTTTACATCTACATGTACGTTATTCCTATGTAATATTTGCCCCTTTAAGCATACAGTTCATGCAATCCATTTTAAAGCATGGATTTATCTTCAAGTATAACACATATGTGATGCTCAATGGGGTACAGCTAGATCCATTTTTTAATACAGACTTTATATTATTATTATAACCAAGTGTCTAAAGAGATAGATTGAAGATTAACTTGTGTGAATTTCATAAACTCAAGCTACATGGAGCTAACATAATTCAAGTCCATGTATACACAAGATCTGGTGTAAAATATCAGTCTAAATACACAACATGTGCCAATTTATAAATTGTAACAATGTCATGCTTTTTCTCTATGCTTCTCTCACAAATTGAATTACAAATTAGAAGATTACTATCTCCACAAGCATGATCAGGATGAAAATTATGGGTAATATGTATCAACTTCAATATATGGTAGATGCCTAGCAACTGATAATTAGTTTAACATTTTATAACAAAAATCATCCCTGAAAATTTGAAGCTTTTTCTAGAAATGGAATTTAGCAGACAAGATAAGTGAGATGCAACCACCCAACCACTAAGCTGACATCATTGTATCTTTAAAGATACAAAAGAAATCACATCATGATAAATACAAAATGCTGATTCAAAAACAACCTTGTCAATTTAATTATAGGGTCCTCCACAACATAATGAAATCATAATAACCTAACTGGTCCTTAGGGGAAGTATACGCTTACCTGATTGGCCCCCTGGCTATAGAAAACATCCCTGGTGATCTGGCGTTTGAATTGACGTCTTTTGCTTTGTAAGCTTTCTTGAGCAGCATCTTCAGAGGTTGATCCCGAGGAAGACTTTGATTTTACTCTGGAATGAGAATTTCAATGAGGGATGATATGAGACATTGTAGATATCAGAAAGTATTTATTGGGGTGGATGGGGGTGAAGGTAATTAAATATTTTTGCTTTAGAATTTGTTAAGATTTCATTTACGACTTCCCATCATGACTCTGACATCATAAATCGGGTAATTTCACAATTATTTCACGATGTGTTTTCCCTTGATAATCGCAACTCAACATGTCACCTGTTATAAGCCAAACATATCATAACAAAAATTTGTTATTCAGAAAAAATAAAATCAATAAAATACCCATTCTATGAGATTTTTCCCACATCTGTTGAAGCATAATATCAGTAATCTACTATCATTCAGTTCATATATAAATTCACATTTGGAACTGAAAGTTAAAATATGCTGATGCTTGATCGTGCGATCATATACAACAATTGTTTGGCTGGGGCATCAACTACAACATATATACATGTAATGTCATAAATCAGTAAACCAATCTCAAATGAAAATAATCAAACAATGAGGTGTAACAACCTTCATTTTGTTCTAAATACATTCATGAATATTCTTATTCAAATGGCTTAGACCAGGTGAAGCTATAATCCGATTGAATCAATATGGCAAGATAATCAATTTTATAACAAATGTTTTTTAGTTGACTTCTATTCAACCTATATAGTGTGCGCATAGAGTCTAGTTATAAACGAAGCTCTCTTTTAAGAAGTGAAGTCAAATGAATGCAAAGGGTATTTGACCTAACCCCTAATTCCTTAAACAGATATTTTGACCTTTGATATGTTCATATCTTGAAATGGCCCCTATAAGAGTATCTAAAACTGACATTCTAAGATATTGAATGAGATATTTCACACTGTTAATGAAATAAACAATTGTCAACACAAGGGGATTAAATGTAATATAAGTTTGTCTTAATGTAATGAGCTGACTAGATATAAGAGACAATCCTCTATCAAGAGCAGACTTTGTCTCCAATTAGAGATCTTTCAATGCGATTGGTTTGGTAATCATGTTTATCCCACCCTAAGTGCTTTATATGATTGTATAATAGCATTGTATAGCTGCAATATAAAACCAACACTCATCGTATATAACTCTTGAGAACGATATACAACTCCTGGATAGCGTATACAACTCCTGGGCAGCGTATACAACTAGTGTACTCTTCGACTTGATATACAACTGCTGAATTTGGATTAACCTTTTATTCATTACATATTATGGTGGGATAATAAGATCATATAATGGTTGATTCTGTATATCGTTATACTCTCGTGAGTATATGATATATTCACTCGTTCCCTTCAGTCACTCGTGAATATATCATATACTCACTTGAGTATAAACACGATATACGGAATCAACCATTATATAACCTCATAATATCAATCTCAATATTGATACATGTTACCCTTTGCATTTCTTCTTAAAAGAGAGCTTCGTCTTCAGCATATTTTTTCCTCATCGTTCTTCAAAGGACTTCATTTATGTTTGCCTTTATGGAAAGAAGTGAAATATCCTTGGACCAAGGATGATTTTTCCTATGAATTGTATTTTCTTCTAAACCAATGAACATATCTCACTATAACTTTAGGATATACTTTACACCTATACTAGGAGCATATATTGTGGAAGTCTATTATAGCAAATGTAAATTGATGTTATTGAATGATAATGTTATACATGTAGTACTCTATAAAATATTATTTTGGAGAAAAAGTAATTTTAGGAAAAAGTCTCAAAATTCTTCGTCCACCAACTAAAAAGACTACATGTATATACCATATTATCCGTAATTACAGTAGCCAACACTCTCTAATAAGTGCTCACCCTGCTTCAAAAGATTTTTCAAGAAATTAAAGTGGGTGATAATAGAATTACAATGAACTGCTGTAAACATGACGCATTTTGTAATTCAATGCATCCTCCAAATAAATAGCTATCATTCAACGTTTTCCACACCATACTAAACTTATTATAAAATAGTCCATAATGAATGAAGGAAATGATCAAGTTTAAGAATTTTGATCGGCATTTAATCAAGAAAGCTTATGTGCAGGTGTTCTGCGCATGTTAAAAGATTGTGAACTTTCTTGTTTTTTTAACCATTCTCTACTTTTCAATGACTTTTCCACGACAAATGATGATCTACCATCATGGGCTTTCAAGTAGATTCTAGTTGAAAGCCCATGATCAAATCAATAAAAAAATAAGGTATAATTCTAGATCAATATGCAACAGTCACATATAATGGAAATATTGAAGATAATCAGGGAAAAGAATTCCTTCAATTCGAGGTGCTCTGCTGGGGATTTCTTTTATAACTGTCGATATTGAGTTAAGATCCTTGCTTTATTTTAGCGATCTTTACCGTAATCTCTCCAATAACAATACATAGTACTATCTTTATTGTAAAAATATGCTGTTACTTTGCTTTGATGTTTGCAAATAAGGCATTCTTCCCATACATGAAATTCCAGGGATTTTTGACTTCTTTCATATATGGGCGCTTATAAGAATGGTCTGAAGGATGTATTTTCAATTTTCTAAATGCTCTGGGCACTAATTACAGAGAATACAGTATGTAATTTGATACTGAATAAAGTCATCTTTCATAAAATTCTTAGTCTAGCAAGTGGCCTTTTGACTTCCCAAAACCCTGCTGGAGACTCCCCTATACTTTATTAAAGGTAGGGATCATCAGTCTCTTTACACTTATTATCTCCTTGAGAACACCTCAGATTTGCTACAGTTACAACTAACGTTTTTCTGATATAATAGTCTTCTACCATGGACATTCATGTTTACTTTATCTTTGGAAGCAATGTTAACCCAACAACTGAATATAGTGAATATAGTGGATATAGTGGAAATAGCGAAGCCCGCTGTCCATTGAAAGAGACCTCATATGTATCGCTTTTTGGGTTTTACATCCTACCTTCTGACATCAAATTTATAGTTCTCAAATGATTTTATACCAGAGCATTTATGTTTATACCTTCAAATGAAAAAGTTATTTAAATCACAAATTACAGGATCAGTAATTTCTTGTAAAAACTTAGGTAAATGATTTGTACAACCAGTATTATGCTAAACAAGTGTTGGTGAATCTGTACATCATTATATTAATGATGTTGCACATATGTTAAGCAATTTTATTGATGTGGCATCATCAATTGTATGCAAAATATCGGAGCGTACTCCAAGGAGAAATTCCAGGATTATGTCATATCTTCATGGTTAAGGAGTTTTCTTTGAATCTGACATATATGGCCATCGTCATATTTGACATTATAATTAAAACACAATTAATTGGTTGACTAGTAACAAAGGAAGTAAACTAACATGGTTTAACATTCGAAATTCCAAGAAAGGTAGTGGTCAAGACTTCCGAAACAAGTCAAATGGTGGCGACATTTAAGGTTGAAAGTTGCCATGTGTGAATACTGCTCCGGGTGGCAGGGTCCCTATATTAAAAACTATCTAGAAAACTATATAAAATATATCATTTCTCCATGAAATTAATACACAAAGTAGTTAAGTTGTTGTTCTTTATTATTGGAAAGTTTTCCAAGACTTTTGGATCACCCCTTGTATTTCCGTGTTATTTCATGACTGTTTAGTTCAGACTTGGTTAATTTTCCCCATAGCTCTGAATATACAGTATGTTTAAATAAGTCTTAATTTTAAACTCTTCAATACAGAAACATATAAACAGCAAGGCTCATTCACTATAGATTCAATCTAAGCCATTTATTGCAAGGTTTTATCATCACAGTAAGGTTCATTAGATACTGGTTTGACAATAGATCATTACATGGAGTTGCAGTTACAGAGAAGTGTCTATTATATATGAGAGTGCTGTTGACTTATCCTGTTCCCGGACTATGGTCCTGTACTGAGCCCATACATTTGCCTGTACGATTACAACTTGGGAGAATTATCTACGCCCCTTCCACTTAAGAAACCTACCTCAATGCATTCTAGAACTCAAAATGTTACTTCTAATATATTGGAACCGCCGATTGTCTGGGTTAGTTGGCAGGTCTTTTTGTTTCTTATGGCTCTTTTGGTCGAAGTTCGATTAAGATGGCGGTTATAACGGAATTTCCCGAACTCTTCCGTAATAGCACGAACTTGGTTTTTCGTTACGTCACTTCCGTGTAAAATGGATTTGTTTTCGGTAAGAAACATTGTTTAACCATTCGGTATACAGTTAAGAGCATAGGATGTCGACATGGCGGTAAATATTGAAAATATTGTCCGAAATTTTCGAAATTCCCTCTTACCGAAAACAAATCCATTTTACACGGAAGTGACGTAACGAAAAACCAAGTTCGTGCTATTACGGAAGAGTTCGGGAAATTCCGTTATAACCGCCATCTTAATCGAACTTCGACCAAAAGAGCCATAAGAAACAAAAAGACCTCGTTCTGCCAACTAACCCAGACAATCGGCGGTTCCAATATATTAGAAGTAACATTTTGAGTTCTAGAATGCATTGAGGTAGGTTTCTTAAGTGGAAGGGGCGTAGATAATTCTCCCAAGTTGTAATCGTACAGGCAAATGTATGGGCTCAGTACAGGACCATAGTCCGGGAACAGGATAACTGTTGACCACATGGTAGTGTTCATCAGTGTTCATCAGTAAGGTATTCACTAGAGAAATCTTCACAATAGATTTGGAATATTTCAACATCATAATTCACAATGAGCATCATCATAATACTGAAGCAGAAACACAAATTACACATCGCGGGAATACTGTTTGGAACACTGCTTGGATTAGTTTTATTTAATAAATACAAGGAATATCAAGAAAGACCAGAAATAACCAAACATTCAGCGTATCTATCAAATGAGCGAATAATAAAGAATGACCTAACTGCTACAAATAAAGGTAGGTTATAATGAGGAAATAACCAATTGAAAATAGGGAAATCTTGGAAATGTGGGGGATCCATTGCATATAAGGGATGGTGTCCAGTTATAGAGATTATCCTATATGAGGTTCAGGATATTGGGATTATCCCGAGGCCAATATAATATATCTGCCCGAGGGCCGTAGGTCCCCAGGGTAGATATATTATATTGGCCAAGGGATAATCCAAATATCCTGAACAGACTATAGGATGATATGTTTATCCCATACCAAACACATTGTTCAATTGGCCGAAGTTCAGAAACTTTGCAACCAACCGTAGAATTATTTTAAAATATTCATGTCCAGTTTTGTATTCTTGTTTCTTTTCCTGTTCTAATCTTTGATTATTAACAGGGCATACTGCTCCTCCTCTTCATTAAAGCATCAAACAGATCCGGCGATTGAAAATAGGGAGTTCTTGGAAATGTGGGGGGATCCATTGCATCTAAGGGATGGTGTCCAGTTATCAAGTTATTTCATTATAGGAAAGGGCTAAATAATGATTTTGTGAGCAAAGATGAAGGCTCGAGATATTGAACATTTGAGAGAGGGAGACAAATGAACATTTCAAAATGTTAATATTATGCAGAGAAGATGGGACACCTTCCCGTAGGAAAACAATGGGACATCATCCCTTAGGGAGACAATGGGATATTACATGTATATAGGGAAGGGAAGAATCTGACCAGGGTTGTTTTGGAATGATTAACTAGAAAAACACGGAGTAAAAAATCCCACCAAACAAAACATATTTTGATAATTAGTGGCCATCTTGAATGTTTCTTCTTGAAGAGCATATCAGCATAAAAAATTTGAACCAAATCCATCCATTGGTACTTGAGTTATCAAAGATTATGTTTTTTCTGAAAAATGGCGGCTACATGTACTTTGAAATTCAGCCACCATCTTGAAAATTCTTTCTTGAACAGAGCTACTGCTATAGGCATCATAAAAATAAAATTTGAACAAAATCCGTTCACTTGTATTTGAGTTATCAAAGATTACATTTTTCTGAAAAATGGCAGCCATTTTGAAATTCAGCCGCCATTTTGAAAATTCTTTCTTTAACAGAGCTACTGTATGAAACAGATTTGCATATGGCTATTTATTGCACAATAACATTACATGTATATGGTTTCCCTGGAAAATAAACAGGGAATAGAATTGATATTCAAAAATCACGTATTAGATCCTGTATTGGCCAAAATCCCACATCAGATCCCATATCAAAACTATTCCCAGGAATTTCTCTTGATTTTTACATTTTTTGTTCTATTCTAGAACTTAGAAATTAGTTGAAAATGTTAAATCAAAATGTATCATTTTATGTCACCATCTTTGGGTGTACCCCCATGAATGTGGGGTTGATTTTTCAAATCACCCCCACAACTGCTTGTGTATTGAAATCTTGGGGTTGAAAATAAACTAGATTAGTTTATGGGGGTACTTTGGGTGATGACAAATCAAACTTGAAATGAATTAGATTCAGAAAACATATTACGGAAAATGTAGTTAATGGATGGTTGTGATGAAATATGAATATTTTCCTTGAGAAAATATGATATTGGCCTCAAAAATATTTGAAACGCTGTCACCCACGGTCAATATGATATTTTCCTTGGCCAATATCATATTTTCCCTTGAAATAAAATTCATATTCCACCCCTCCCATTAAATAACCTCTATATATTTTCACAGGATTATTCTGTGTTTTCTTTAACCAATTTTGAATATTTCTATGAATAGCACTAACATATTCTATTTTTGTGAATATAATAAAATCTCATCAACAATGAATTCTCCTCTGAACACAACATGTACTTGTTTATCCCTGGAAACAGGGCCAGGGGGTTTAAACGAGTTTGGGAGTAAAGAAAAGGTTTTATGAAAACAAGGCACACAGTGAATAATACTGAGCGTACAACTCAAAAAGGGTCATCTTAAAATTTACAGAGTCAGCTGAAACTAATCCATGCTTTATTTTCAAACCAATAAACATCCATGAAAATGTGGCAACAATATTGTGTCTTTTGAAGGAACAATAAAAATTTCATTTTCTAGGATGTACTGCTGAAAATCGATTATGGACACAACCAGAGTTTTTAACACACGGTGCCCCACTTTCAAACTGGAACGTAAAAGTGTCCAGGCCAGAAAACATGAATGTGGTAAAGGACCCAGTTGATGATTCAACTAATGTCTTAGAGGTAGTTTACAAAAAAGGTAATATCCTACACTCACAAAATTGACCAATGATTTTACTTGCATAACTTCATCAGTGAGTCTCCATTTTGGAAACAAAAATACTAAGATGAGGATCTGCATGGCATTTTAACCAAAAATCAAAAAATAGAAACAGAAAATACCATTGAAATAAAATGTAAGGTAAGGACCCTACAGATCGAGATTAATGACCTCAGTTTCTCATTTTACACAACTTTTTGAATCGTCATTTTTGGGAGTTAGTGTTTGCGATGTTATGTTGGTTTTCATTTATAAATCTAATTAACTTTTGAATGAATTCTATTTTTAGGTACATATTGTAGATCAAAGCCTGGTGGTATACAATTCAAGGCTACAAAGTTTCCTCCACAGGAGTCTGCCATGTTGTCATACCAACTATTCTTCAGTGAAAACTTTGACTTTGTCAAAGGAGGAAAACTACCAGGGTTCTTTGGGGGGTCGGGAATTTGTAGTGGAGGAAGGAAGCAAAACTGTTTCTCAACAAGGTACATGTACATAATATTTCAATCCAATTTAATTCAATTTCAATTAATTCACACATTCAATCATTATGTTAACAAATATTAATAATAACAGGTCGCACCACAGGAGATGCTCATACCTGTACATATCGAAGTAAAATTATGTAGAGACCATGTAGTGTATCATTCAGTTGTCAAGGAATCAAACCAGAATGAAATCAGAAAACTGAGGTTGAAAAATAAAGGTTGTGAGGATCCATGATGTTTGTTTCTTTTAAAGTGAAGAAGGTGACATAATGACACATGGCATATAAATGGCCAATAAACTCACTACTAAAAAAGACAGGGGAAAATATGTCTCTGGGGATCTCAATGCTTCACATTTCTCGATATCTTTAAAGGCATTATTCCAATACAATAAGCTGTTTTCTCTATAGATACATGTGGAGAGAAAATGGAAAAGGAGAACTTTATCTTTACACTCCTTTGGATCAGACAAAGGGATTCTGCGATCGTGAAAATGTGTTTTGTAACTTTGATTATGGACATTCAGTTGGAAATGGAACATTTGTTTTCACCACTGGAAGATGGCACCAGATTCAGCAGTATATAAAGTAATTATAATTTTTATGTTTTAGGGGTTTTGAGTTACTTTCATGCTTCTAATTCTGTTCTCTTAATGATTTTTCATCATGTTACCATAGCAGCCATATCTATTCAGAAATACCTCAATTTCATTATAAATGATTAAAGTGACAAGGCCTGTATATCATATATTGCATATAATACTTTATTACTTTATTGTAAATTCCTTATTGTACATTCCAGATTAAACACTCCGGGTCAGATGAATGGAATAGCTAAAATATGGTTTGATGGTACCCAAGTGTACTCAATTACTGATCTCAATTTTCGATCTAATCCTGATGTGAAAATCAACGCCTTATTTTTTTCAACATTTTTTGGAGGAGGCAGTCCAGATTATGCTACTCCTAATACTGTTTGGGCATTCTTTAAGAACTTTGAAGTCTGCAAACATAAATAACTTTGCTCAGCTGACTGTTCTTTGAATAAAGTATAAAAAAAATTCTAAAATCGTTCTTGTTTGGTTTGTAAATGAGCTATGCTATGAGATGCCACAGTAAAGTTGTACGATATAGGTCAGTATCCTAGTCAACTGTATCTTATTGTCTCCCAAATAAACCCTCTGTGTTTTTTTTGAAGCTTCAGTTTCACTGTGAAGCATACAATCTTTCCACAAAGATAAATTCAGACTAAGATTCAGATATCTACACCATGTAGGTAGATTATAATTTACAGATGGATGAATAGATGGACGGATGAATTGACACAGTTGAAAAGTACAACATGGCTCCACATTCCGCCATGCCAAAAATGTTAGATGAATTGAAAAGAAGAAGGATCACCAGTCAGGCTGCATTATGTAAATAGTGCAGTTTCCATTAAACCCAAAATCAAATGTGACAGACATGGAGTTCAGCCTAGAAACTTTAAAGAGCTGGTAACCCCAAGCTACATTTATGTATATGTTATGCTACATACAGAACATTAATATAACAAACCAAAAACTAGACTACTCATACATGTATTATTCAACTATCCCCATTTCTCATTATCCACATTTTCCCATTTCCAATTCTCCTCTTATAAGCGTAAGGTTTCACAGGCAAAATGACTTAAAATAAAATGCAACAGTTGCAACATTACCCCTGCCTCCTATCACCATATTCAACTATCCCTAGAATTTGTGCATTAGATACGTGATTGTTCTTGAAACATAGTGATATACCTCTTCATCAGGAAATATTTAATGCTACAGTGAAAATATAAAACAATCTACCATAAATAAATCATGTTTTAATAAGCTTGCGTTACACTCATCATGATGGGCTTATATAAGCATAAATGCGCCCACTATGACTTCATGATTATGAGAGACATCTTTATGACATTTTCAAAGCTTTTTCAATTAGTACTAAAGCATACCACAATGCATAACAAAAATATATGATCGTCATTTTGATGACAAAATAGCAGATTTCTCCAAGGAGGCAAAAGTAGGAACCAGGACCAATAGAGGATTTTCTAAATAGTTTTGAAATCTCATTGAAGTCTTGTTTTTAGTGAGATTTTAGGAGATCTGCATTTTTTACCATTAGACCAACATTTTCTCCTGATTTGATGGCATATTTGAATTCTGTGTGTAATTGTTGACACAACTTTGATTTGCACAGTTATTTACCTTCATTCAACGTTCAACGATTTTGAAGTTTACTGAAAAAGATCTAGCTAAATCCCCATTGACACATTGGAAAACATTAAAAGTTCATTTACGCTTATAAGGATCACAATTTTAATGTTTTGATCACAATACACATGTCAATAAACTTGTGTAGCAACATTCCAATGGTGTCTCATGTTAATACAAATTGAAATACTTGGTAGATCAAACAATTAAATGACTCTTGCCATATTATGTCTCCCATGTATTCTGGCCCTTAACCCTTTTCTAGAAACACACGTGCTGCCATCTATTTTTCCATCTAATAGAAAATAGTCTATTGCCAGACTGAACCCTCATATGAGCATTATCATTAAATTATTTACAGATTTTATATAATAATATTTTCCAATACTATAATGTAACAATTAATTCCAAAAGAATCTTGTATTACCTTGTTGACTGGATACTCTCCTTCCACTGTTCATAAAGGTCAATGTCAGCCATTTTGATATCGCTCAGGTTACCCTGATGGCTGATTGTTCCATCTTGAACAACAATGATCTGGAATATATCAAAATCAAGAGTGTTTAGGCATTTCCCTTGTACATCAGCAATCTACATTTTAATATGTATTTGTGAGAATTCTCCTGATTTTCCATGGGGTATTTTTGTAAATTGATTGTAAATTTTACAAGAACATCCAAGATTTACAAAAAACTAGCTCAATGCTGCAAATTATATCAACTTCTTGACTACCCAGAGTGACGAGAAAATCTCGTCACCAAAGAAATGACCTTGAAAGCTAGAGTGACAAGATAACATGTCACAAAATATTTCACTACAATTACTTTAATTATAATCAATTTTCATCCAATTTACACAAAAAATGTTTTAAAATATGTAGAAATGATCTCTGCTGACTAATTTTAATAAATTGAGCATCACCTCCTTTTGTATGTATGAAGTAAAATGTCAAAAAGTGGCAAAAATGAAAAATTCTCTGGTTTCAAACCAATTTAAGAGTCTGGAATTCGAAAGGTTTCCTCCACCTACCTTATCAGCCTGACTGATGTACTGCAATTGATGTGTTACCAATACAACGGTGCGACGATGCTTCAAAAGAAACTTGAGTATTCCTTCTTCTAATATTGTCTGACCTACGTGAACATCTAACGCAGACAGCGGGTCATCCTGTAACATAAAGTATTGTAAAATATCATTAAAGTCAGTGATAATCTGTGTATATGATGCTTTGAATGTTTTTTTAAGAGAAAATGGTGACTAAGACATTGAACTATGTGGTTCAGTGTCATCAGAGTGTAATCTGGATTTAGTCTAATTTTGTATTTAAAGTATCAAAAACACTGGTATGTTTATGTAACAATGACCAATCAGATCACTAACAATATTAAAAGAATAAGGAAAATAATTGTAATTAGGTCCCTGGGAAAAACCAATTGAGAGGGGGACACCTATCCCTTGGAGATATTACCTGGTCACGCACAGGTTCTCTTAAAAACTAACCCCACAATTGTTACTAAATCTGTCCATGCAAGTAAAAATAATATTCTGAAAGAATGCTTGAAGCTAATGTTGCTGGAGGATGTTTGAAATATATCCAAATCCCCATCTATGTTACTTTGGAATGTAGTGATATCAAACACTTGTAGTGCTATGTTTATATTTTAAATGTCCCTTTTTATGCCCTTTTCTGTTATCTGAAATATCCAATTAATTACAATATTTCCTAATCAATTTTCAGATTACATCATAACAAACTTCTATACTCACAAGAACAACAACATCAGCTTTGGAATACATGGCCCTGGCCACACTGATTCTCTGCTTCTGGCCACCAGACATATTGATGCCCTGAAACATGAATATAGTTTTAATACACAGATGTGATAATTATCCAAATAGAATGTTAACTTGGAAGAGGTCCAGGCCCGTAGCCAGGGGGTGGGAGGGAGTCAAGGGGTTCAAGCCCCCATCCTGCAAAATTCTTTGAAAATCATGCAATTTTTCACCATTTTGAGCACTTTTCAAGTGATTTCGGGCCAAAATTGTCACATCATTTGAAAACTGAACCACCCTTGGCAAAAGCTGGCTTATAATGGGCCACAGGTATGAAGAGTGATATTACCAAGAAATCTCAAGAATCTGAGAGAGTAAGATATCTCAAAAAATATAGACTCAATTCTGTGTGTACACATACACAAACATTGTAACTCTCACACCTCATGGTTAATGCAATATTTCTGAAAATTTTCTAACATGTATTTTATTGTGGGATTAGTATGAAATATAAGATGGTACCTTTTCTCCAATTTCTGTCTGGTCACCAGCTGGTAGGATATCTATGTCTGGTTGTAAGGCACATGCCTGTAATACCCTCTTGTATCTGAATAAATAGTACAGGGTGTCAATGAATATACAAAAATAAATTTATTATTCAAACACAACAGCATATGGGCCTCGTAACGATAAAAGTCCTAAGAGAGATGCTTAGGAGGGGTTGGCCCCAGTGCTGATATCCCTGATGTAATACAGATACAGAATATACACTTTCTTGAATCTGAATACATTGTACAGGGTGTCAATGTATAAACAAAAATAAATTTATTATTCAAACACAACAGCATATGGGCCTCGTAACGATAAAAGTCCTAAGAGAGATGCTTAGGAGGGGTTGGCCCCAGTGCTGATATCCCTGATGTGATACAGATACAGAATATACACTTCCTTGAATCTGAACACATTGTACACACATTAAACACTTTCTTGAACCCAAATAAATTGTACAGGGTTTCAATGCAGGGCTTGCATTAACGGCGTCCTGTACATGTTAAGGACTCAAAAATAATTTGGAGGACGCAAAAATTGAAAATATTTCCGTTTTTTGGACGCAAAAACAAATAATTATGATCTCTCACCTTTATTTGAATCGTAAATAAGGCTCAACATGTTGAATATTTACAAATAATCATGATTCTCTCGAATTTTTCGACTTTGTTTATTTTTAGATTTGAAACCATGACACGCCACAGTTTTTCCTATTCAGGAACAAATATTAGGTTAGTCATGAAATAAAATGTATTCATTGTCGAATGAACGAACATGCATTTATTCAGTCCGTACTTAACGTTTACTTCCGTTTTAAATTCGCGGCAAGAAATCAAAAACTGAAAGGTGTTTTGTTAAAAAATGCTTTTAAAGTAAAGTTATAGCTCGAAACAGGCTAGAAATAGGGGACACACTTTTTTTTCAAAGGACACACTTTTTAAAAAAAATTGCGTCCTTGCGACTCACAAATTTTTTAACCTAATGCAAGCGCTGCAATGTAAAAACACTTTCTTGAACTTAAATAAATTGTACAGGGTTTCAATGTAAAAACGCTTCCTTGTTCCAGAGTAAATTGTTCAGGGCGTCAATGAATAAACGCTTCCTTGTTCCAGAGTAAATTGTTCAGGGCGTCAATGAATAAACACTTTCTTGAAATTGAATATTGTACAGGGTGTCAACAAATAAACATTTTGAACTTGAACTTTTGAATAAATAATAAAAACATGGCCCTAACCTTTTCTTTTCATAAGGCTCTCCAAAGAGAATATTATCTTTTAATGTAGCATTTATAAGCCATGCCTTCTGAGCAGCAAATGAGATTTTACAATCTGGGTTCCAATTCACCGTTCCACTTTTTGTGCACATTTCTCCCATAATGGCCGACAACATAGATGACTTTCCGCAGCCTGTTGATCCTACGATCATTGTTAATTTCTCTTGCTGGATTTCAAAGTTCAGAGCCTTAAGGTCAGGCGTTTCAGATTTCAAATCCCAGGAAAATTCAGCATTTTTCACCTCAACTGCATTTGAAATTGCCCCATCTTCTAATTCTGAAAGCAAGAGCATGATCATTTACTGTACAATGTATGTGTGAAATATTTGAAACACAACCAATGTCCTCAGTTTGATTCAAGTTTTGCCTCATTGAATTTTACCATGTCTATTTCTGGATTCTTGCTACACCCCTACCAAGATTATTTAATGATGACGTTAAAACAATTGTTCCTGTCACGTGACTTCAATTGAATATCACTATTTATTTTTCAGTCACGTGTAGGACATGGACCAATCAGAGAGTGAGAAATATGAGTGATATAATAATATTCCATATTCATCTTTCAATAATTTTTCAAAATCACCTTTACACCTCGGAATACGAGTATTGCCTAATCTTTCATGGCACGTAGTGACCCAGTTTTGAATGATCAATAATTGCAAACTTAACAATTGCAAAATACCAATTTATACTCACCATCCGCACTTGCATCAGACATCTGACTCAGATTACTCAACTGGCGATCCATCCCCTGTGTGGCGCCATCTACTCCCTCTCCACCATTTTGAATTTCAATAGGTTTTGAAGCACCTTTCTTGTATGCAACTTTAACATCATTTCCATTCGTCTAAAAATATTTTAGAAAGAATCATTGTTTTAATAAAAAAATTTAACAAAAATCTTTTTTGAAAAGTTTAATGCATTTCTAGTTTCAATTATTTACACAATAAGATGAAATATCGGTTGTTCATTATTATTCAATTAGTTAATAATTATATTAGCGCAAGATCTAATTGTTCAATATATTTTGGCTAAATATATCCTACAATTCAAATTGTGGTTCTTTTTGTTGTTGTTTTTTAAGCAATTCAGCTTTATTTATCTTACCTCCTTTTGAAGAGTTGATCCTGACTCCCCTCCACTTTGACCAAAATTGGACCCTTCCACCTCAGGAGCCAATAGGAAAGGCAGGATCCTTTCATTACTGACCTTGGCATTCACCAGGGTGTTGACCAGGACAGGGAAAAGGAAGAGAGGGAGGGCTAAGATGTTGAAAAGGGCCAAGGAAGCGAAGGCCTTGGAGGCAGTTAGAGGCTCATTTTGGATATAGGGGTAGATTGTGAATGTCTGAAAAATAATGAAAATCCCTTGGTTATGTTATCGAGAAAATGCCCAGTTCCAGACCACTGTTTAATTTTAGAGCTAAAACCTGACCAATTGTGTAACTGGCCCATATCCTTAAATGACACATAAGCATTTAGCAAGTAGTTTGTATAAAATATAGCAGCATAAACATATTCCATCATTAATGCACTCCTTAAATCAAAGTCGAACTAAAGAGAATATCATTCAACTGAAAAATGTGTTGTTCAAAAATCAAAAAATAACACTGACTGAAATAATGTCATTGTACCCTTGTCACATTATGTTATGAACAGTTTTCCCAGTGGATCAATTGTATAAAGGCATTATATTGGTACAGAGAGACAATGTTAAACTTTTTTTTAGCATTTAGCATAATAATCATGTGATATCTTACCACAAGTGTCACTAGGAGAGGGGTGCCTTCTGTGATGAACACTGCCAATAGAAAGAAAGATTTTACATGTTGGATGGTCTTATAAAGAAAGATATTACATGTTGGGTGGTCTTATAAAGAAGGAATGTTGGGTGGTCTTATAAAGAAAGATATTACATGTTGGGTGGTCTTATACTCCCCCTACACACCTCTCCTTTAAGAGATGAATCAAATGTGAATGGGTCCAGAGGGGTCAAGAGATTTTATATTGGGTAGTCTTACTTCAAACCCTTCTTATCCACCACTCCCTCTCTGGACACCCTATATATCTCCAAACTAGATGAAGTAAATAGAAGGGGGATCCAGATGGGGATGAGGTTCAGGGACTTTGAGGTAAGAATACAATTTAGGCATTAGGTTATAATAAAACAATGAGATCTTTATAATTAAGGTAGGCCAAGATGAACAATAAATAATAAGTGGTGTTTTTCTCACAATATTCATCACTGAAATTAGCTCAAGGAAGAATGGATTTGGGAATAGTTGAGTATAGAAATGTTTTGAAAAGTTAATTTAAGAAATTCCCCAGCTTAGACATTGTCCATTCAAACACTCAATCAATACGTTCTCTCAGGACACGTCAGATAGACTAAGAAGCTTGATGGAGAAGATAAAGTTGGAAATCTCTAGAAAACTAAATCCATTGAGAAATTTCCCAGCTAAGAAATGTTTTGAGAAAGTTAAGTTATTCCATTTAGACTTTGACAAATTATTCTACTCGGCCTACTTTAATTGGGAAAAATACTGTTAAAAACAATAAATTAAATATTATAATTTCAATGTTATTTAGAAATACTTCCTTAGTGTAGTTTACTAAGTTCACTTTAAATTATTATATTGTTGCCTCCAGGATATATTCAACGGTTATGATAGAAATGCCATATAACAAAATTGTTAAAAGAACCACAAAATAAATTCCTTACTATGGGGATTACATACAACACAATGGTTGCTATAGTTACTTACATGTAAATGCACACAACAAAGCTCCTTTGAGAAGCAGTCTGACTTCTGCCATACGTGTCTCCTGTACTTTCTCACAAAATAAGATCTCCCAGGCATATAGCTTCAGCAACTTGATTCCCTGAAGCATCTCGTTACACTGCTTCAGACGTAGATCCGACTTTTCCTAAAAATGTTACCAGGTACAAGGAATAATACATAAATGCTAGTTTCCGTAGTTCCACGACATTGGACAGTACAATATCACACTTGAAAATCAAAAATTACAACCCTAAAACTTAACCCAGGATGCACAAAACAAAAACAGATCAGATGTAAGTTATTTGGGTAGTGTAGATGGAATTTGGTTGAATATTTCTTACCAGTGTTTGTTTCTGTATATTTGCAATCACTGCAGCTACTTTGTACTGTATAGGGGAGATAAGCAAGATAATAGAGCCCCCTATAAGGGCACTGGATCCTAACACATTGTATAGCAGGAACATTGTTATAGCAATCTGTAAAAAAACAATATATAAGGATAATAGAGCCCCCTATAAGGGCACTGGATCCCTGGACTGCCTAAAATGGAAAACTCTCGAAATGAGAAGAAATGACAAAAATCTAGTTATTATGTATAAAATATGTAGAGGCTTATCACCTGATTACATAATTGAACTTTTTGACAAATACAAAAATGAACAAGTCAGAGATCTCAGATCTCACCAACCCTTCAAAATTCCAGTCAAGGCGAGTGCCCGGCTAAGGAAATCCCCTGTGTTGAGACTAATAAACCAATGGAACAAACTAAGTGAAGAGGAGAGGGTAATACCCAGAATTTCAATATTTAAAACCACGGTAAGGAAGAAAAAAAAATATTTTCAAAATTTTAACACCACATCCAAACTCAACCTATCTCGTAAACAGGAAATCATTTTAAACCGAATAAGATGTGGTCTTTACTTCAAATCTCAAAAATTTGCGCATAATTTTACTGGCATTTCTGATAACCTTTGTATATGTGGTGAGAGTGAAACGCCTAAGCATTTCATCTTTAACTGTCAGCGCCTTTCTACAAGACGACATGAGTTTATTGAGTCCCTTGAGCAGCATAACCTTGAGAACCTGTTACCCCGGAGACAAGAGGATAGAATTAAGGCATTATTGTTTGAAAACAACCTGTCATTAGAAAAAGATTGTATTTTAAAGAAAAAATTCATCAATTTTATAATGCATCAAGAAATTTAAAGTGCTTCTGTCTTGGGTAGAATGTGGCAAACTCCAGGATAAATTATGCAATTAAGCACACACATCTATGTTTTATTTTATGATATTTTACTAAAGATGAAATTAATAAATGCTAGCCAGTAATGCCATTGGCGCTTGGCAGCATATTTTTGTATTATGGTATATGAATTTGTTGAATAAAGACAACTAAAACAAAAACAAAACTGGATCCTAACACATTGTATAGCAGGAACATTGTTATAGCAATCTGTAAAAAACAATATATACGGATAATACAGCCTCCTGTAAGGGTACTGGACCAATGCATATTGTATGATAGGAACATTGCAATAGCAACCCGAAAACATAACATAATTGAGATAATGATGAAACACAAGTAAACAAATATGAAAATTGTCAAATATGACCTTGATACCCAGAGTGACGAGAAAATCTGTCACAAAATTTTTCACTAAAATTGTTCTTATTTGAACAATTTTCATCCAATTTACACAAAAATTGTTTTAAAATGTGTATAAATGATATCTGCTGTCTAATTTTCAAGAGGTTAAACTACTTAAAATTAATGAGTAAATTAGAATGAATTATATTTTAACTATTACATTCTTTTGAAACAAATAGAGAAGTTAAAGTACCTGTATGGGCATTGTCCATACAAAATGGAAGAGGAAGAACATCATCTGTAGATGGAAGCAATCTGTGGAGACGTGATTCACGATCTGTCCTTGCGTCATCTCACCACTTGACATTGTCCAACCAGACAGCCTCAGTGTCTTCTTATAAATCATGGCCTTAAATAAAAAACAAACATTTAAACCTTTCCCAATTAAAAGAGGATTTCACAATGTTTTACTGGTAATCATAAAACTAATTTGTTTTTTTTGTTTTTGTTTTTTTATTTATTTATATATTAATACAAAGAATACATTAAACAAGTGCACATGTGCTTGTGGCTGGGCATCAGCATTATCAGCCACGTTATATGATGAAAATCAATTAACAGTATTCAATCAGACATTAAAATAGGGGTTGTATTTGTGGAGGGTTACAGTGGTGGGGGTGACCTAGACATTTTTACATCGTTCAAAATTAAATTAGTACTAATTTGGTCAACTGCTTATTTTTGGCATTTCCAATGATTTTATTTCACTTTTAAAACCTGGTCAACTTTTTATTCTTATATGCAACAAAATCTAACAAAAAAAGATTTTTCATGAAGTTCACATCGTCGCTTTCCACTGGGTCTCGAGACCCCTTGGCATAAAAGGTCAATTTGTTTGTCCCATTCATATGTGGCGGTTAATGGCCCGGTGTTAAGTCCCGGACCCAATCAGAACGCTCTGCTTAGTCACGTGACAAAATATTGAAAATGTCTAAATAAATATTGCATCTTTTATTGGCCGATTGGTTTTGTGACGTCTCACAAAACTCTGCAGCAACTGCCAGAAGGAGCAATATTGAGAGTGAATTCAGCTGGGGTTTATTTACACAGTGGTTGCTTAAATCGGGCAGATTTATCAAGGCGAGGTAGGAACAATCGAAACCTTGTGAATCAAGATGTAAAGCTCATGCATTTCTGAGAATCAAACTGAACCATTAAGTTCAGAAGCTCCGAATTCCGTAGGCAAGTTTCAAAATTTGTTTCATTCCAAATCTATGACAGCCCTTATGCCCGGTGTAAAGTATTTCTAATGACAGATGGACATTTAGGCTGTCTATGAGACACCACATGTATTTTTTCAAATAGTTTCTTTCCTCACCTGAAGAGCTCCCTTGAGCCGTACAGCTTCCCTTATGACCAGATAGAAGTGACTTTGAAGGAATGTATTCTGCAACACTGTCGCTAGGAACAGTATGATAGAAAGGACATAGCCATTGTTGATGAAGTCAACAACACTGATGTATTGAACCTCCTAAAAAAAATCATCATATACAAATAGAAATAAGCATTGTTTAAAAATTAAAACATACTGAATAGGTAAATAGCATCATTCATTGAAAAAAGTTCTGAGATCCTGAATACAAGAAAATAACTGTGATAATCAAAGTTTTTAATGATAATCAAAGTTTTTAAAACTGTACAAAAAAATTCAAATATGTCAACAAATTGAAAATGTTAACTTAGTGGATGAATAAAATACATATCTCAAAAAACCACATCAAAAATGAGGTTTCAATGGGATTTCAAAGCTAAAGTAAAATATAGAACATGTACTCCAAAATTATATTGTACAAGACATTTAAAATGTGTATGGTGACCCATATGTCAAAGGAGGCTGACATGATTAAGAGTCAATAAAACATAGATATAAGAAATGATTTGTGTAATGAACATACCTGTGGAAGAACTGTTACATTTCCTGTTTCCTTCTCCAATTGATTCTTATTATAAGCTTCAGTGACGTAAAGCACAATCTTCTCAATAGTCCAGGGTCCAACAAACGCTAACAGGTCACCTGCACAAAGAAACATATTAAGAAAATTAAAAACATTTATTTTTACTTTCATGGTATATGACTACTTTCCATTGAAGGAACACCATTTTAACATGGTAGCCTAACTTTTCTAAAAAGGTGTTATTTTGGACAACCCTATTCAACAGCACAGCAATATCATATGAGGTAATCTATTTTGCAAAGTATGGCCACATATGCAATTAATTTTACTGTTCCAATTCTATATATCCTCTCCAAATACATGTAATTGTTATTCTCTTTTACATAAATAAATGTGAAGTAAGACTGAATCCAAGATGCAATGTCCATAAGCTAACAAAACCACCTTCTGACTATAAAGTATGGTTCTTAGTTTTGATGCTTGATAATATAATACTGCTCACTTATCCATCTTTTATTGCCTCTAGGGTAGTCTGAATGTAAAAGGAACGTTGGCTTTTAGAATAGCTAAAGTAGTGTACCGATTTTTTACTACATTTTTTACTTGTACAGAGGCTAGATAACAAAATAATCGTTCATTCAAAAATGAGAAGTTGAGGTCAGACAAAGGGTAGTTCCTTACCTATAAGTTTGAATATACCAGCCACCAGCATCCAAGGCCAGTATGCACGGAGGTAGATGTATGAGAGACTAGGCTTTTTGCCCTTCTTAGCTGCCTTAGCCTGCAACAATGGAACATGAATCATTACACTTCATCACAATCTTTCAATTTTCAATAGAATTTCTGACAAAATGCTAAATGAATGATAACAGGCGAAATCATTGAAAATAGAATTTCAAAATGGAAACTTGCAAAACAGTCGATGAAAAGAACTGGAGAAAATGCTTGTGACTAAGGGAAAGAATGAATAGATGCATTGAAGGAATCAAGATATTATATGTAGACTTCTATTTAAAGTTTCAATGCAAGGCATACTATACAATCAGGCAGATACACTTAATTATTATCATAGATCTATTGTAACATTTTGTTCATTAGATAGAGAATGGTGAGACTTCATGAGACATGCACCAATTTTTGACTAATATAACTTTGAGGATTATGTCTCATATATTATATCCTCTTTGGTGTAGATTTTACTCACATATTTAAATTAGCATGGATTATATTTGCAAAAAAACATACCTTTTCTTCCTCAAAGATCCTGCTGAGAGTTTCATGCGTGACAACTGAGTGTTCAGTCTGTAAAACAAAGTAAGCAATTAGCAATAAATTAGAGTTTCATGTGTGACAACTGAGTGTTCAGTCTGTAAAACAAAGTAAGCAATTAGCAATAAATTAGAGTTTCATGTGTGACAACTGAGTGTTCAGTCTGTAAAATAAAGTAAGCAATTAGCAATAAATTAGAGTTTCATATGTGACAACTGAGTGTTCAGTCTGTAAAACAAAGTAAGCAATTAGCAATAAATTAGAGTTTCATGTGTGACAACTGAGTGTTCAGTCTGTAAAACAAAGTAAGCAATTAGCAATAAATGAGCAATAAAAAAGTTTCTAGAGAATTTCTCATCATTATGTCTATTTCAAGATACTAATGACATAAAACATACTGCATAAGTTGTGAAAAAGTCTCCAATTGCTTTAAAAGATTCAGACTGCTGTCAAATAAAGTATCATACTACTATCCTTGAACATACAGAAGTTCTTCTCTAAAATGTTGGACAAAATTTGTTCAATTTCAATGGATTGGATTCGAAATATTTCACCATGTAAACCAATGAATTTCCATTTGTAAACAACTACAAATAAATTGAAACTCATAAAGAAAATGACTGCTTCAATGTAAGAATGTCATTCGAATTAGAATTATCGTTATCCTAGATAAAAATGAAGTCAGAAACAACAATTCCTCATACAGTATACAACAGTAACCGGACAACTCATCCACTGGACAACGCATCCCCCCTAGTCAACTCATTCATCCCCTGGAGAACTCACCCTCTAGACAACTCATCCCCTAGACAACTCATCCCCTGGACAACTCATCTCCTGGATGACTCAACCAAAGTAATTATATGTTATATTATCAATTCAAATTTGATATTCAAATGATTTTTAAATGTTTTGGTGATAAATATGATCAGTTTTGAGTTTCAAAAACATATAATACTGATTAAGTGGAAATCTGGTAAATTGTAAAAAACTATGTGTGCATTCATTATATCCAAACTGACAGTTCCGTCAGCTGAAATAATGATTACTCAATTAGCATTTGGATATATTTTATTGCCCACTGCTGAGACGTCTGCTAGCCACCAGCTATACAGTGAGGATTGACTTTTGACTCAACTATTGATCTTATCTGTTTACCTAATCTTTCACATGAGGGTTATCATTCATAGTATCAATAGGCTATCATGGACCCTGTTGCTTTTAATAGCTTTATTGCATGATAACTATCTCAAACTAACACCAAATGACAGCATGTTCACTAGAAACCTCATAAAACAGATTATACCACTCTAAGTCCAATTACAGTTGTATAACATGCGTCTATAACAACGATATACAGTAGAGAGTGGTATATCGTCATCGTATACAACTCCTCCGTATACACTCCAGCGTATACCACTGTAGAAGTGCATTCTGGGAATTAATGAATAAAAAAATCATGAAGATTTTCATGATTTCCTAGAATCAACTGACGTCATAAATGGTCCCGGCATGATTTGCTAGAATCAAGCCACGTCATAAATGGTTCGAGATCAACATCAGCATTATTGAGTTGGCTATGGGATATTTTTATGGTTTTTAATTGTTATGATTGTGTTCGAATCAACTGTAATTGAACTTAGAGTGGCATAATAAGATTATATAATGGTTCATTCTGTATATCGTGCATTTTATACTCTCGTGAGAATATAATATATTCACTCGTTCGCTACGCTCACTTGTGAATATATCATATACTCACTCGAGTATAAACACGATATACAGAAAGAACCATTATATAACCTCATATTATACCACTCTAAGTCCAATTACAGTTGTATAACATGGGTCTATAACAACGATATACAGTGGAGAGTGGTATATCGTCATCGTATACAACTCCTCCGTATACACTCCAGCGTATACCACTGTAGAAGTGCATTCTGGGAACTAATGAATAAAAAATCATAAAAATGTTCATGATTTCTTAGAATCAAGTGACGTCATAAATGGTTCCGGCATGATTTGCTAGAATCAAGCCACGTCATAAATGGTTCGAGATCGGCATTATTGAGCTATGGGATATTTTTATGGTTTTTAATTGTTATGATTGTGTTCGAATCAACTGTAATTGAACTTAGAGTGGCATAATAAGATATATAATGGTTCATTCTGTATATCGTGCATTTTATACTCTCGTGAGAATATAATATATTCACTCCTTCGCTACGCTCACTTGTGAATATATCATATACTCACTCGAGTATAAACACAATATACAGAAAGAACCATTATATAACCTCATATTATATAATATTACTTCACTGCTAGTTGCATATATTCTAGCGAATACACACTATGATATTGTCAAGGACAATGTCCATACCTCAGGTAGTTTTCCAAGCTGTTTCACCTCCAGTGCATGTTTATAACCCTCAGACAGCATACCATTAAGCCACCAATAGGAGAACTTGGACAAGAAGTTGGAGTATGGCTGCACAAACTTTGTTCCCTGGCTTAAGTCCTCGGGAGGAACTAGCACCCTTGGATTTGAGGATAGGGCATATCTCTGAAATGCAAGCATAATGCATGTAATAGGTTTGAATAATCATATGGAAGGGGCAATAGTAATAGGTTTCAATAATCATATGGAAGGGGCATTAGTAATAGGTTTGAATAATCATATGGAAGGGGCATTAGTAATAGGTTTCAATAATCATATGGAAGGGGCATTAGTAATAGGTTTGAATAATCATATGGAAGGGGCATTAGTAATAGGTTTGAATAATCATATGGAAGGGGCATTAGTAATAGGTTTCAATAATCATGTGGAAGGGGCATTAGTAATAGGTTTGAATAATCATATGGAAGGGGCATTAGTAATAGGTTTGAATAATCATATGGAAGGGGCAATAGTAATAGGTTTGAATAATCATATGGAAGGGGCATTAGTAATAGGTTTGAATAATCATATGGAAGGGGCATTAGTAATAGGTTTAAATAATCATATGGAAGGGGCATTAGTATTAGGTTTGAATAATCATATTGAAGGGGCATTAATAGGTTTGAATAATCATATGGAAGGGGCATTAGTAATAGGTTTGAATAATCATATGGAAGGGGCAATAGTAATAGGTTTGAATAATCATATGGAAGGGGCAATAGTAATAGGTTTGAATAATCATATGGAAGGGGCATTAGTAATAGGTTTGAATAATCATATGGAAGGGGCATATATATTTTCCATTTTCTAATATTAAACTTTGTTCCCTGGCTTTAATCTTCATGAGGAACTAGAACTGTTGGAAAAGAGGGTACTGGAATGTAAGCATAATAGGTTCATGAATATACATATGGAAGGGCAAGGGGGGGGGGGTATAACGCTTAACAAGAGCTGAAATAATTCACACATGGAAATACATTATGACCTGATTTAGATAAGCCTTGGGGAAACAATTCCATTCAGTCCATTCACTCATATATGTGCTAAATCAACATTTCTGAAACTGTGTATTTATTTAATGTGTAACTAAAGTGCTATTTTCCTAAACCAACAGGTTTAACAAGAAGGTGTCAAATATTTACTCAAAGGTAACTTGCACTCTGATTTACAATCACAAGTACAGTATTCTTTGGTCATTGGGAACATTTGTACTTGTACTTATAGAGGACATATTCTAGTAATATCAAAGTATTCAGAAATTCATTTTAGCCATACTGTTAAACCAATGTATTGCTTCAGTCATGTGAAATACCATGATGGATCAAAATTCATTCTTGCAGGAATATGATAAAAATAATTATCAAGGTAGTTATCAGTACAAGCAATTTGAAAATAAAACAATGCTTTTAGTTACTGCATGTAGACCTCATACTGTGTTTTTCTTTTAAGTTGGTGCCTCTTTTTATTTTATTGCATTTATATACCAAAGTCATATTTAAGGTTGCTTGAGAGTACCCATATACCCATACCCATATGTGATGTTTGTGTCTGTTATGATACTTATTGTCTGAAAATGTGGCTTTATGTTTGATATTTCAGTAAAACTAGAATCAAATATTATGAAAATGACCCAAAAAGTCCAAAACTCAATTATGAGCAAAAATCTTGTTCTATTCCATAAACAGGTAATCATTTTCAGATTTTCATTATTTTCAATAAATGGGTCAGTTTAGCAACTTGATTTTCTTTCAATAAGAAACCATTATAATGAAAATAAAGGTTAAAAATGAATCACCAACATTTTGAACATTTTTCACTAATACATACAGCCCTCAAATAAGTGTCTCACATGGTTAAACAATAAGAATGTAGTGAACACAGAGAACTAATGTATGTATGTACTTGTTACACTTTTATATTGTTAGATCCACTTTGATATGGCCAATAAAGATTTTATTTCTGATTTTATAGGTTGAACTTATTTCATTGAGCTGAATGGCCCTTTATATTGAAGCTTAATGGTTATGTTGGCTATAAAACATGGAAGCCTGTATATCCATGATATCAACCCTCAGATCATAAAGTATTTTAGGATCCATGAAAAAGTATTCACTAAAGGTGATTACATTTTTTGATGTGTATTAAAAAGGGGTGTTAAATAGTGGTTTTACTATGTATGATAAGAGCTGAATTCAATTATGAAATCTTCAGATCTTGGAAATCCAAGATGATTAGAGTTGATAAGGGTTTTTCAAACTAGAGCATATCAGAATTTCAGAGGCAATGAACCTGGTTTTAATCTATGATTTCTAATTTTCCGCAAGAAATCATTATCGAATTCCAGATGTTGATAATATGGGTAAAATCATTTGGGCAGCATCCACTTTATATCCTTTTAAATAGTTTCATTTCATTGTGATTTTAAGTAAGATTTATCTCCACTATTTGAATGGGAGATACTATAGCCTCCCCCAATTTCACCACCGGATCTAATGTGAAACTAATCATATTTTCTCTCCCCTAAAACTCACAGAAATGATGACGATATATCATGGTACATTTTACATTACATTATGGCATAATATTACCTCACTATAAAAACAAAAATTAAGGATTTGATAAGTAAACTTTCTAGTTTCATCTAAATAGCTGTAAACAGAACATATACACCACAATCAGCACCCTGAAACCACGGAACCATATGGTACATTAAGAGCATGGTACTGTGTGGTACCGGTACCATTTGAGTATGGTGCAGTATAGTGTTCAAGGTACTGTAGTCAGTACTGTTTGAGACTACACTACCATATAGCTAAAATGGTACCATTGGGTACAAATAGAGATTGGCTGTGGAATTATAGTAGAACATGTTTAGAGTCCCTTGACTAAAAATGTTAACTGAACTTTGAAAGTGGAACATGCCAATAAGTAGAACAAGTACAAGAGGTGTTCTACATACACAGATTTCACTATATATAATACTTACCAACATCCGCAGTACATTAAGCTCTACTATGAGCAGGAAGAAGTAGACCACAATGACATCCCATGTCAGGTCAAACCTCAGGTTAACGATGCCTAGGTTCTTCTTAAAGAGGCAAAACACCTGAAATATTCAATGATTGTTATTGGACAGAATTTTGAAATAAAAATATTGCATCGTAAAAAAGAATTTCCTTTGGAGAACATAATATAAAGCAGTGATCTCTCCAGCATTAAAGCAAGTGGGAGCACCACCCACCTGAGATTTTGAAAACAGGCTTGCACCCACTTGGAAATCCAATTGCACCCACTTGAAAATGAGAATATCATGAAAAATAGGCATATTTTGACCTACATGTATTTTGATCTGAATTGTAGAAATGACAACTAATTGCACCCACTTGAGAAAAAATCCTGAGGATAACCATGTAAAGTAAGCTGGATTCAAAGTGAGGGAAAGTTATGAAGTTTTTAGTTTTTGATTTTTTAGAGATTCGCAAGGTGTAAATACAACATATACAAATTGTTGAATATTGAAAACACAAAATGAATATACTGAAATCCTGTGCTAAGGACTGATGTGAAAAAGTCAGTCCATCCAAATGTTGATAAAATCCACGACATCTTGCTATCCTTGAGATCCATGACATACCCAGTAGATATGGTATGCCCAGTTTCCTTTTCCATAGGTCACCCACAGAATAACACATACATTTGCAATGATAAAAAAGTTAAGCTTACTCACCTTCAAACATTTGATTGTTAGAGCCGACATCCAGTATAGAAGAGTCAACAGGAGAAATCTTGGAGAGTTCCACATCTCCACATTATGGTAGTATACTAACGTCATAATAGATGCTGCGACGCTAACACAATGTGGAACATACAGATGAAGATGCAAACCCTGGTACATGGAGTCTGAAAGGACCCCTTCTGCTAGCTCAAAAAGATTCATGACAATCAACGCTATCGTGAGAATATAACGGATGTTGTGTCCTGGAAAGTGGACCCAAGACTGGACAGGTATGCTCCCATAGTGCGATTTATTCCAGACAATCAAAATTGGGATGGAAATGACAAGCAAGAGGCTGTGTGGTATTATGCTCAGCATGTCAATGAAGCATTCATTTTCCAGTGGACTTACACTTAGCGTGATATTTGTAGAATTTGGGTCAATACCCGGGATTTCCCCACAGAAACCCATGTTCAACTTTGTGGTTGACTGATTTGAATTGAAGCCTGCTTTCTATTTCCTGCAATTAATAAAAAAAATGTGATTAGATTTTACAGATGACATAGTCCATGTATATCAATGTCAAGGTTACTTGTAAAATTTGAAGACAAAAAAATTTACTTTCTGTAAATAATTGAAATCTAAATACGCCTGTTTTTTTATAAACAAACTCACTTAACTGTACTAAGTTGGGCTTGTTAACTAGCTTAGCTGTTCTAGTCAAAATGTCAGATTCAGAAAATTAAAAACTGCAAAACCAAACCAATTTTGTATTATATTTTTTCGGTTTACACATATTTTCTGAATGTTGGTACATGTTATTTTATCCAACACAAGTTAAAAGGATGACAGCTTCAGCTCTCCACTTTGCGAGGGGAGATAATCATTAAATCTATTATTGGGTCATTTAGATTATGGTGTTAGAAATGGCTCAAAATTCAATGTTAGTTTCACATTTGATATATTTTAAATAGTCGAAATATACTTAAAACATCAAATAAGAAAATATATTTCAAATTAAAAAAAATCTAAAATCAAAGCAACTTTTTGAAAAACATCAAATAAGGAAAAAAATCAAAGTAAATGTTAAGAACTTAAAATTAGAAAAACTTACGTCGAATAAGAAAAAATAATGCTAAATTCAATTTTCTATAGTTCAAAGCAATAATTACACGACCTCAAACTAACTTTTATCTACAAACTTTTATACATATCATGTTTGGACTTTTCATTTTGGTATTTGATATATACATTTTTCTTATTCGAACTTTTCATTTTTCTATTCAAACTATTTGGCATTTCTTATTTTTCTATTCAAACTGTTCGGCATTCCGCAAGTTATCTTGCGCATGCGTATTATATCAATATTTACTTCTGGAGTGGAAAAAATGTGAGAGCAAGATTTTCTATTATTTTTCTGAATTTATGCATGTGTAATGATATTATATCTGAAATGCCAAACTCCAGAATGCCGAACTGTTTAAATAGAAAAAATATTATACAATTTTGGTTCGAGCATTTTATTATTTTGGTTTGAACTTTTGGATCGGAAATTGAAGGAAGTATTTGGAATTTTTAGTTTAATCATGAACATCGAAGCTATTATTGATCTTGCAATTAAAGATTTTTTCAGCGTTTGGCATCTTAATTTTTGGTGTTTGATGTTTAATTTTCCCTTTTCGAAGCTGTTTATCGCAGTTCATAGATGTGAAATTGCTCATTTAAAATATCAAACACTGAAGATTTATTTTTAAACAACATTACTAAAATTGAACAAAAGCTTTTGAAAGTTTGAATTAAAAAGTGTAATATCAAACAAGAAATATGGATTATCAATCATAGAATTGAAATAATTGGACAAAAATTTGAAAGTTTGAATTGATAAGTGAAAATTCAAACAAGAAAATTTTAATTTCAAACATGAAATTAAAAATATCGAATAAAGACGCTAAAAAATGCCATATTAGATCAGCATCAATAAATCTATGCTAATATCTCCCATTTGGTATCAAGTGTGATATATCATTGGAAATGGAAAGGTCTTCCAAAGTTACGTTGATAAGCATATATTCAACACATGTCAATCAATCTCACAAATTTTTACATTGTATCAATTGAAGTGACCATAGGCCTAGAAACATGGCAATTTGGCAGGATTTTAAGAATCGGGTATAAGAAAGGTCAAAGGACCAAAAGATGACTAAATATGTACATGGCAATGAATTTAACCAATTTCTGGATAGGATTAGATGTGTAGAAAAAAGAGGTGCAAGGAAAGTGGTGAAAACCTTTTTGTAACAAGTGGAAAGTGAAAAAGATTAACTTTTTGACATATTTCTGAGGCCAAATCCTTGTCATTTTGACTCAAAAAGCTGCTTAAAGGAGGTTATGTTAACTATAAAGGACATCATAAAAATATGGGTAAACATCCAAAAAACTTGAGAGTTGGTGAGTTAACATGATGATCTTTCCAATGGTATATCACACTAGGTACTGTCTATTAAGGTTTTAGCTGTAGCAGGGGGGACGGGACTTATTTGACACCCTGTAGATACATGTAGTTGCCATGAAATGTAAATCTATTTTCTAGCTCAATTTATAAGGGAATGAGTTCAAGAATAAATTGCCTTTCTCATGAAAATTTTAGGCACAAAATAAGTAAAAGCCTGAAAATGGCAACAAAGAATGAAAAGTGTCACAGTATGCCGATGACACAGTGTTGTACCTAAATGACAAAGCATCAATTAAACCCTCCGTAGACATGCTTGAAAAATTTGGTAAAGTTTCAGGACTAAAGATAAATAAAGAAAAAACAAAGATAGGTATACTAGGAGAAAGTACCAGAGCTATAACAGCAGAGGCAGAAAACATATGCAATGAGGTAGGCACAAAACTAGAAAAAACTGAAATCAAGGTCCTGGGAATTACAATTCCATTGGATGGGAGACCTATAGGGAAAGCCAACTTAGAAAAACCTATACAGAAGATTAAGAATTTAATTAAAACATGGAAAGAAAGATCTCTAACGCCAGTTGGTAAAATATGTGAAATAAAGTCCTTAATTCAGTCCCAACTTTCATACGTTTTGACAACAGTTCCAATACCACAAGACAACACATTAAAAGACCTAGAAGATCTCCTCTACAACTTTATATGGTCAAATAAAAATGACAAAATTGCAAGAGCAACGCTTAGGAGAACAACAGAAGAAGGAGGACTAGATATGACACACCTTGAATCGTATGCAAAAAACCTAAAGCTAAAATGGCTGCGTAAACTAAAAGATGAAGATTGCAACAGTAAATGGAAAAGAATCTGGATGAGCAAACTAGACAAAAACAGAGACAATAACATTTTAGAGTATAACATTGAAAACCCTTACAAGTCTGATGTAATTACAACTAATTTGAAAAGCTTGGATGAAGTTCTTAAAATATGGCACGAGGTAAAATATATAAAAGAACAGGATATTGACAACCCCTCCAATGAAATCATATGGAACAATGAATGTATAAAGCAAAACAAAAACCCGCTTCAAAATAAAGAATGGGAAAGGAAAGGTATAACAAGAATTAAACACTTATACCAAAATGGTCACTTGAAAAGTTATGATCAACTAAGAAATCAATATAATTTACAAAACCAGACCTTTCTCAACTACCACACTGTTATAAGATGCATACCACCAAGGTGGAAAACCCTAATGGCAAACACCAACTTACAAGATGATGAAGATAATATTGAGAGATTAAAAACATGGGACAATAAAAAAACGTACAAAAAGCTCAGCAAAAAGTTCAAGCAAAAGACCCCTACAGGTCAAACCAAATGGAGAGACTACTTTCAAAAAGACATAGAATGGAAAAAATATATAATCTAATAAACAAACTGACAAAAGATACGAAAATGAAATATTTTCAATATAGGATACTAAATAGGGCAATATACTTCAGAAAAATACTTTTCAAAATGAAAAAAGTAAAAACCCAAACATGCGTACTGTGCAATAGCAACCAAATAGACGATATAGAACATGGTTTCCTGAAATGCCAAGTGATGGAAGATTTCAAACAACAATGCTACAGAATCCTGAATGAAGAGATACCTGATGACCAAGCTTTTATGTTAGGATCTCCAAGATTGTCTCTCAGCCAAAACCTAGCAACCTTACTCATAAAGAGATTCATGTACATTAATAAATTGGAAGAAAAAACACCTACCATAAATGCTTTTCAAAGATACTTAATAAGAGAAAAGAAGGCTGACAAATATATTGCAAAAACACATGGACAAGAAGAATTGCATGACAGAAAATGGATTCTTATAAATTCAATGATAGAAAATTATGTATAACCCCCCTTTCTGAGCTGGAAACCAAATACTACAAAACATACATACAGAGCCAGAAAGGGGGTAAAAAAGAAGACCCAAATAGAAAAACCAAACTCTCACATTTTGATGTTTTGACCCACTATACTTAGATCTAGTATTATAGCCTCTCCCCTCCCCTGTAAACCCCCCTTATATACTTTCTTATAAAGAAATGAGCGACCCTAATTATATTTGTATTAACTGTACTATTATGTAACCTTATATTATAATGTAAATCTAAAACTTGAATAAATATTTTAAAAAAAAAAAAGAAAAAAAAAGAAAAAAAAAGAATGAAAATAGGTTGAAAGTAATTTTTTGAAAATTTGTTTAAACGTAATATGCTTTCTGTTGCTTTTAATTTTTCTTATCTGAAAGTGTTCTGTTTCAGGATAATTTTGCGACTGTCATAATGTCAATTTTTTCCAGAAATTTAAGCAAAAAATTCTAGGCTAATTCTAAGTATACCATTGTTATATTATGATTAATTAATGGTTGCTATGGTTACGAGAACAATGGTCTGACGTCAAAATATTTTAGTGAAGGTTTAATATTAATCTGTTTCTATCTATCTTTTGCAGTTAATTACATCTAAGTGTGTATTCGCTAGAAAATATTGCAACTAGCGGTGAAATAATATTGTATAATCTGTTTTATGAAGTTTCTAGCGAACATGTTGTCATTTGGTGTTAGTTTGAGATAGTTATCATGCAATAAAGCTATTAAAGCAACAGGGTCCAGGATAGCCTATTGATATTATGAATGATAACCCTCATTTGAAAGATTGGGTAAACAGATAAGCTAGATAGTTGGGTCAAAAGTCAACCCTCACTCGATAGTTGGTGGCTAGCGGACTTCTCAGCAGTGGGCAATAAAATCTATTCAAATGCTAATTGGGTAATCATTATTTCAGCTGACGGGTCCCATATTTGGTATATAACGAATGCACACTTAGTGAAAATTTTATGATATCAGAATCAAATATAGATTCATAAATAGCAAGGCAAGGTCTGTCCGATTCCAGCCAATATCCCAGATGCGAGTAGAAATAATCTTGATTTACAATTCAGTCAAACTGATGTCATATTTGGAATCTACATGTAAAATTACATTTAAAAATGTGGTTTTGAAAAGAGTTTATCAACTTTGAAAATTTAATTTTCTTTGAAAATGTGACTTCTAGGTTGGGAAGATTCCTCATAGACCCCATGTTGTAAAACCACAAAAAGTGAAATATCTTTTCTTGTCTTGGGCAGATAATATTTTCTTTTACTGGACATATTTTAGTTTGTATAACTATCAGATACATAGGGGTAATATGAAAAGTGAACCACTAAAACTGATGCATATTCAAGTTTAAGGGAATTTTGTAATACTCTACCATGTTAATTCCCCGAATCAGCCACCTGGTGGCGAAACTGGTAACTACCTACTCGCATCTGAGTAATTCAAACACATTCTGCAGTGCATTATATAACCAATCACCACATTCAAAATTAATTGTTAAAGAGTTGTTAAGGTGACACATTGACTTTCCAGATTGAAATTGATACTTTGCTAACTTGACCATTGCAAAAAGTTTCATTGAAAATATGTTCTTTTAGTGGTTTTGTATCTTTTAGGTGATTTTGCAATGTCTGAAAAGAATTTAAACTGGAGACTTCAATGCATTGTGACTGCTTCATTCCACTCAGGTGTTGTTGCACTGGAAACAACACCTTCAATGGAATGATTCAGGGCACACTGCACTCTTTACACGAGAATCTGTAAATTAAGGTATCAATAATTTTCAGTATTTCTGTCAGGAGGGGGGAGGGTACAAGCGAACCCCCCAACCCCCCCCCCACCCCAATAGCCAAAAATTCTTTCAAAATCAGGCACTTTTTCACCATTCACAGCAGTTTTAAAGGGATTTTGGCTCCATGCTCAAGACTGGCGGATCTGGGGGGCCCCGGCTCCCCCCCCTTGGGTGGGTCCAAGGAAATCACTATGTATATAATGATTTTTTCTGCCACAGATACAATATATACTAACAATACAATGCAATACCAACCATCCCTGAACCCCCCCCCCCCCCCTTCTCAACACGTACATGAATAACTGGATAAGGTTTCAAACTTTCAATAGGTGTTGCCTCGAGGCTTTCAAGCTTGAGTATTCAGTATTGTTATTCAAAATCAACTTCACGCTGTTAAACATTGACACATGTTATATAAGGCAACTATAATGTGAGCTATTCATGAAATGTTGACATTGCCTATGCAATGTAAACACTGAAGCGTTTGCCTTTTCGCGGTTTCAAAACTTTCAGCAGCAAAATGATTGCATAAACAGAACAAAATTATCGTACTTACCTTAATATTCCGATGCACAGTTATATTGCATCAACAAAAGTGACATATAAATTCTAACTATCCACTGTTATTGTCTCATTGGGAATTAAACTATTGCCATAAAACGGTGTACATTACAGCTCACATCTATGCACTTGTAGCCCATTCAGAAGAGATGACCTGCAACACCTTGACCTTTTGCACCTCCGACTTCCGGCACAGTGCGAGAAAATAGTTCGTGAGTCTTTAGTTTTGATAGTCTACTCTTTTCACAGTACAGTCATTGTCTACAGTCAGGAACAAAACAAATGATATCTCATTTCACAAACATTCACGTCATTTTCCATAATGGTGGAGGATAAACCTCAGACAAGAGTGTTAGGCCTATTTGATTTGAGCTAAGGGGTCTCTTTTATTATTATTTGTTTACAAATGGAGATTAGAGATGGAAATAAAAACTTATAACGTTACTCAACGTTGACGGTTTCTTTACATCTATGCATGATATAGCACACAATTTGCAATGGTTTAAAAATCTAGAAGATTCTACGAACCCTGGTACTAGAAGCATTGAATGTCAGAATAAGCTGCGAGTACAGTAACTGCAGTACACGTTGACGTTGGCCAACTGGACGACAAAATAAAAGTGAGGTCAAGGGCATGAAGCTAAATAGTCCGTGAAAAGTATGTATCTCTAATTCTTCAATCGTGAACTATGACAAGATTAAAACTGGATGTCTTCATAAAATGAACCCATTAGTGACTCAGTGTCACTTTGTCAGGTAGTTCCATATGTTTCGAAATCTTTTAATGGCTTTCTTACATTAGAAAAAGGTGCAACAATTAGTGCAGAGGGACCATACAAATTAAAGACCATGGACCAATGTCAAAATATATTGAAGTTTTGATATTTCATCAAGACTAACATGTATTTTTATTATTTCAAAAGAAAGCCCCTGAATGAACATTATTTCAGCTGACTATTCCTCTTGAAACGTGGTGGATCTTGAAAATCTATAAGTGGAACTCCCTTTATAGAACCTTTGAACTGAATTTACACTTCTTAATGCTGAAATTGATAGTTTATCCATACATTTTAAGAAAATAGGTATGTCAAAGAAGATGTTTAGCCAAATGTTGCCCTGATAGCTCAGAAAAAGTAAATTTCAATTTTTTTCTTTACAGGCCTTGTTGCCCCTTTAAGATACATATGGTTCATTCTGTACATGGTCTACGTCTTCCAGTTTTGCAATATACCTAGAATATTAGTAAGGGGGAAATAGATATTTTAGATGTAAGTTACATATTGTATTTTTAATAAATAGTTCATTGAATGTTCTCAATTTCTACATTTTAGAAAAGTATTTACGCTCATCTAATTATTTAATTCCATTTGCGTACCCTCGTTACACACACAAATGCATCAGTTCATCCAGTCCCTCGGGAAATACTAGAATAGTATCATCTTGACATTTGGTATGAAATCCAAATTTTCAATACCTCCCAGTAAATAACCTCTATTTATTTATTTCAGCTCTTATCAGCACATCACATGACTGTATGATATAATCCTGCTGCCATTGTACCTGAGACCATCATAAAATTGTACTACACATGGTACATACACAAATTTCATCATTAGCATCATCATCATTTCCATATGAGAAGGTGATGTTACAATGTACAGACACTACAAGTTCGAATGCATAAACAGGGATAATACCCAAACAGAGATAAGCAAACGAGATGTGTCATTACTGAACACAAGTGACAAAGACGCTTGGCACATCGACCCTGCTAATCCAACTGCAACGGTAAAAGAATGCTGGAACATTATAAATGATCAATGTAATGTGGTCAAATCACTAAATGTGAAATCAAGTTCAACATTACACACAATAGGATTTAAACCAGTAAGAATATTTGTAAGTTCAACTTTTCGTGACTTTCACACAGAAAGAGATATTCTTGTAAAGAGGGTATTTCCAGAATTGAAAGAATGGTGTGAAGAAAGAAAGCTCTTGCTGCTAGAGTGTGATCTTCGATGGGGTGTACCCAAGGACTCTACAACAAGGACTACTCTTTGCACGTGTCTGGAAGAACTTGATAGATGTCACAACGAAACCAATGGCGAACCATTTTTTCTTAGCCTCCTTTGTGAACGATATGGATGGGTCCCGTTATATGGTGACGTACCACTTGATCTACAGGAGAAATATCGATGGGTTCCCAATACATCAGTCACTACTATGGAAATTTTACATGGAGCGCTGAGAAGTAAAAATCCAAATGCATTATTCTGTATACGAAATAATGGGTTCATACACAAGTTACCAGAAAAAGTTCAATCCTATTTTGTTGAGTCTGAACCCTTGCCGCAAACACAAATGAAAACTCTCAAAGAACATATTCATATGATGTTTCCAAATCAGGTATTTGAATATTACTGTACTGTTTCAAGTGACCAGGCCAATGAAAAAACAAAGCTTGAAGTAGAAGATGCTTTTGCAAAAGAGGTCTTACGTTTTTTCAAATCGGCAATCAGTAAGAAATATCCCATTGAAGAGAGATCTTATTCAAATGAGGAGGCATTTGAAGACCAGGCTCATGATATATATATGAAAAGCAAGGCTGCTTTTGTGGAAGGACGTCAAATGGAACTTCATGCATTATGTCAATTATGTGGTGATAATACTGAACAAAACAGAAGAAACAATTGCTCTCGTTTGGTTGTCTTAAAGGGGCCACATGGATATGGAAAATCTGCATTGTTGGCCAATTTTATCCAAAAGAAGGAACACGAAGACATACATGTATTCTACCATTTCATTAGTAACATTTCCTCAAGCCAAACACCTTTGAATATCACAAAGCGGTTGTTTAATTACATCATGAAACTGAATGGTAAAGAACAAGCCTTGAAACCAGGTGACAAGTACGCAGACCTCCTGATTGAATTAATGAAGACGTATAGGGGTGAAGGCTGTATTGTTGTTATTGATGGTGTGAATGAATCCATGGACATAGCAAGCCAGTCACATCTGAATTGGCTACCAAAAGAATGGCCTCTAAATATAACCTGCATTATTAGCACAGATTGCAACAGCATCACCGAAAGCAGGTTACCTGAGAATGCAGTGACGTTGGAATTGAAAGATCTGCCAGTCGAAGACAGGAGGAAAATAGCAAGCACTTATCTTGGAAGATACAACAAAACATTAGATGAAGAGCAAATGAACATGTTGATCACTAACAAGGGTTCCTCGTTACCCTTGTGGCTGTTATCTGCCTGTGAAGACCTTAGAATATTTGGTCACTTTAGGCGCCTAACAGACCACATAAGAGAACTCCCGGACTCTATCAATGGCCTTATGAAACAAATCATTGACAGATTGGTGCTTGAAGATGACAGTGGATTACTGAAAAAGGCTATGTGTTTGATATATTGCTCTAAATGTGGCCTACCAGATCGATTTGCTCCACTGATTCTTGGCGATTATGAAAACAACATTACATTGCCACCAATACAATGGGCCACCATAAGGCGCTTGATTAAACCATTCATAAGAAGTACAACTCATTGGCAGAGTGGAGAGGAAATGATTGTATTCAGCCATGATGTATTGTCAAATGTCATTCCAGAACATTTCATGAGTAAACTAAAAGAGGAAGAGTACCATAGGCATCTAGCAGGGTTCTATAACAAAAAAGATCTACATTTGAATGACTTTACAGTATGTGTAAACCTACCATATCACCTTTTACACGGCTCGCTTATAACAGAACTAATTGGGTTCTTCAGGAATGACCCCAGGTCTCTTCAAATAAGCACAATGTTTGTACGAGAATATCTGCAGTCGGCACGCTGTCCAAACGTCATTGTGAGTACAGCTGGTACAAAACAAGAAAAAAACGTGTTAAAACTATGTCATATGTGTTCCCTAAAACACAGAGCTTTCAATAAGAGATCCACAGCTAGCAATGACAAAGTATGCTGCATCTGTGGCGATGTGGTTATATCAAAACACCATACAACGGCTGGGTTTTGTTTTAAGCACAAGATAAAATACCACTTGGCCCCAGGGGTTGAAAAATGTTTCATTTGTGAAAATGTGATCCAGAAAAACCAGTCACATGATGTTTTGTTGTGCAACTTTTGTGATGTTGGAATGTATTATCAAAGATGTTGTGTCTACAATACTTAAGCTACACATGACCTGTTGGTAGTATGGACCACCAGTATACGCACTGATCTGATTACTCCATCCTCCAACCGCAAGGATCCAATATCTAGCATATCTTTTTCTCTTTCTACAAAATAGGAAGAAAGAGTTCTGGTGCTTTGTGTTTGGAGGGTGTATGTCAATTTGTTTAAGACATGTAAGATGTATACAGCTGTAAGTTAACTGTTTCATTGTAGGAGTTTGTAAATATTGTATAACCCCCCGATATGACCAATAAGACTGCAGTTAACTAGCGCATGCTGTCAAAGAGTGATATTAGAATATTATGTAAATATATACACACATATATTTTTTACTTTTTTTATATTTTACGTAGTATTTTAAAGTATTTATAATTGTCTCAATAGTACAATAACGTCATTTCGAAGGGCAATATAGTGAAATAGTGGACCGAGGGCCGAAGGCCTAAGGTCTAATATTTCAATTTAACCTACACTTAATGTACTAAATGTATAATAACATTAAAAATGTATTTGATATTTATTGGCAAAATGAATAACCGGAGGATATCGTAACGATATACTCCGGGCGGAGGATATCGTGACGATATACTCCGGAAAACCCAAAATGTGGAGGATATGTATAGGATAGTTATGATTTTGAGAGGTATCATTTTTATCCACGAGTTGATATCAACGCATGTACAAGTGTGATCTTACAACATAAAGTGTGCAAACTCGAACAAACCGTGTATGAAATCACACGGATTGTGTATGTATTCTGCTAAACGCTATTCTATGTGTTAGAGATATCACATAAATATAAGATGTCCAATTTTGATTCAGTTTTAAAACCATATACGCATTGATGCACAATGATATGGTTGTTCAATGAACATAATCTTCCAAGGTATGTGCAGAATGTATCTTCGCATTTACTTAAAATGAGAATTATGCAAAAGTATAATCAAGTGTATAGACCTGTTATTCCTACGCACGGTTCCGTAATGTTGTTTTACGGATGTGTAGTCAAAGTCAAAATTCAGGATCTTGTTAACCCTAATTGTCCCTGCTTGATAACTACATTAGGTGTCCTAATGTAGCGTCTGTGGGTGTATCCTTTCCAGCGACCAAAAATCTAGGCCCCGCTTTCAGGCTTTGACGATGGGATAGAGGCACCTTTTCGAAATGAGTGCCTATTAAAAAGCTAACACCCCAGTCACATTTGTCGTACGGAGGCCGTGCGTCGACCGCAGATCGATTAAATCGGTGTATTTCTGCGGCGAGCGTAGGAAAACTACGCTCACATTGCGGCCTCCATACGGCGTATCCAGGCTGCAGGGTCGCCGTAGAAATTATAACTCGGAGTTATAATATTTGCTCATTTCTGAAGTCCCCGTAGAAATCAACTGGCTCAACAAGATTGAATCATTATTTGTCAATGTTTCACGATCACTTTTCATTTGATATTACATCCTAGCACTATGAATAACATTTATAAATTGTCCCGATGTAAATAGAATGAAAAAAGTATTATTTATCAACAGATATTTAAAATTCATCGTGCGGCTGCCGTGGGAAATGTGACTGCAAAAGTATGAGAGCGCAGAAATTCCACGGCGAGCGTAGAAATGTTACTGGCCGCAGAAATGATAGACCGCAAGGTCGCCGTTGGAAATGTGACTGGGATGTTAGGGTCGCGTCCCGTTGAGGCTATATTGTGTCTCATCTTTGCTATGAAAACCGTTCTCGAAAGTGCTTCGCCGTTCTGACACAGGAAGAATGGAGCGTCTGGTGATAAAGGTTCTACTGTATGCGCTTCCTTAGGTTCAAGAAGCGTTGAACAGCCTTCAAGGGGCAGATCAAGGCATCTGTGGCATACAGTGGTATTGAAACACCTCTTCTAACATAGCCGTAGGGACATTTTATCGAATGGGTATTTATTATCCATCACTTTTAAGGAAAAAAACGATCCATTGCGAAAAAATCAGTTTTTTCAGATGCACGTCCATCTCGGAGATCATTTTAAGATTAAATTGTTGCTGTTTCAGTGTTTTTAGTATCAGAGTATACGCTCTATTTTCAAGAATATCAAACTTTAGTGGATCGTGTTAATGTCATTAATTATATACAGGGTGTTCAATAAAAACGCAACCCAAAGAAATCGCTATATCTTGGAAAATACTAATCCAATTATATTCATATTTTCAAGAAAGAAAGAAGAGACTGTGTATGTATAGCCCCTGTTGTTAGTTAGTTGTAAAACAAGATGTCTTGGACACTTGCTCAAAAGACAGTTGTACTAGCAAAATACGAAAAACGCAAACTGAAAATCACAATATCGTGAAAAATACTTATTCAATTATGTTCATATTTTCAGGAAAGAAAGAAGAGTCTGTGTATGTGTAGCTCCTGTTGTCAGTAAGTTGTAAAACATAATGCCTTGGACACCTGCTCAAATGACAGTTTTACTAGGAAAATATGAAAATCCAGTCAGAGGTGACTGTCACAGCAATAAAACCGAATAACTTTCTAACCATAGTGTTTTGACACTTCAAATTTGGCACAAATTATCTTCATTCAATCTTTGATAAATTTGTGAAGTTTCAATAAAATCACTCCAGGGACTTTACAGTCATGGTCAAAATGCCTTCTTAAGTCTCCCTGAACCAGGGCGTTGAACTGCGATTTGAAAGCATTTCGACCATGACTGTAAAGTCCCTGAAGTGATTTTGATTTCACTCTACAGATTTACCATACAGTGAATGAAGATGATCTGTGCCAAATTTGAAGAGACAAAATACTATGGTTAGGAAGTTATTTAGTTTTTGTGTGGTTGCAGTCACCCCTAGTACAACTGTCTTTTGAGCAGGTGTCCAAGGCATCATGTTTTACAACTAACCATTTACAGGAGCTATACATACATAGGCTCTTCTTTATTTCCTGAAAATTTGAACATAAATGAACCAGTATTTTTCAAGATATAGCGATTTGTTTGGGTTGCATTTTTTTTAACACCCTGCAGTATGTTTAAAGTGTAAGCTTAAAAGGTACACACATTACGTGCAGTTGAAAGTTCTGTCCAATAAGAAAGCCAGATGCAGTCATCTTTTCGAGAGGAAAGCAAAGGCATAAGGAGGATAATATCAATAAGTCTAGATTTATTATTTCGCATGAGTATTTTATTTTCACAGTTAAGGGAAAAAGTTCATAATAAAAAATCTAAAAAAAATCAATACCAATATGCATTGCTTCCTGATAATCACTTTTTATTTTTAAAAAACTGATCCACTGATAATCGCCAACGGATTATCGAGATTTTTAAACTCCAAAGACCTAATTACAGATGGCCTACGGTCGAATCTAATCTACTAATTAAATATAGAGCCCATTGGTTCCTCTTGGTTTACATGGGAATGACGATTTTCAAAAAGTCATCAAATTTAGAAGAAAAAAAATTGGGAAAATTTGGAGGCATTGGAAATGAAGTCAAGTTACATTTTCAATATTATAAGGCTGCATTTTCCTCACAGGTTGTGTAAATAAAAATTCAAATATAAAGAGGAGGCAGGGAGCTAAGGTTGCCAAACTTTTGGAGGGGAGTGTATTTTCCAGAAAGACGAGAGGATTAGCCGACCACAAGTTTCAAATCGTGTGTCTAAAAAGGATTTGACAGCATTCTTTATTAAGATAAAATGTTCATTTCTCAAAAACAAATTAAAGTTTATAATGATTCACAAGTTCATCTACTGAAATGTTTTCATTTCTCAAAACGTTCATGATTCTCGTCATTAATGATAAGAACAGCGAAACGGTGATACAATATGCAATTGTTGACCTCTCCAGAGACTGTAAACCAGTATAGTTTCAAGGTTTACAGTCGAGGTATATGATTTTGACGGTTGACCGAATGGAGAGGTCTACAATTGTTTTGTTAGTCAGAAGAAACTAATAATACACATGTAGACGACAATCATCAATCGGGGCTTCATTCACAATCTTTTCTCCAAACCACGAAAATATTAAGAAAATCTGAAGACACAGTGGTAGTATAAACTCTCTGTTTTCGGCACATTACTGCGTACTCACAAGTAAATTAATGTTAATTTTACGTTTCTATTTGTATTTTTGCTATACTTGTCGTCTTGTCAAAACATCACTTTCATCAACGTTTACAAAATGTCCGTCTACCATGTTTTTTCGGTAAACATTATGACGTCATATTCCCCATAATTCACAAGTGTACAGTAACATACGCAGTCAAAAATATGATATCATATAATGCACAGGTACAGGTGGGGTACAGGCAAAAATGTTGACCGCTAATTGACCAATTAGATGCGAGTATTTACACTGAGGTACTAACAATACTATTTGTCATCTGTCATTTCTATCGTCAGTACCAATTGAGAGTATTTGCTATTGAATATACCAGTATTCAGTAACTAATTGTAGCTTCATGAGGTCATTATGAACTCCTTTTGAGATGGAATCTTTTCAAAAATCATGAAGTGTGGGAATAGCATGTGTCAGAATTTGACATATCTTTGAATGAACTCTAGCTAAAGAATGAATTGGGAATGAGGATTTTTCAATGGTAGCTCGTTAAAAATATGTTCCTTAAAGATATATTATAATTTGCCCTTAACCCTTAAGTTGGCTCAATGTATGCTAACCCTTGATTTGGATTTCATTGAACAATTAAACAAGTGTTATATTAAAATGTATGATTTTACTCAGTCATATTTTACGTATGAGTTTACTCATTTGAGTAAACTCACCGCATCGCAAAAAACAAAGAATGCCACTGTGTATGCCGCCTCAAGTAGAACGTTTGTAATTATCAAATAGTCCACCTCGCAGCAGATCATTCATTTGCTCAAGTACGTCGAAAGTGATAGGTAATCTCTCGTAGCTGAGCGTCTTAGCTGGTTTTCTGATGGCTCGGAGTATCATACATGTACCTAGTCTCTGTGATTTCGAGGCGTCCATTGGATATCGCAACGGATAATTTAAAAGTTAATGGTACCTTACTCCAGACAAGTACAGTCTGATAGTCGAAAATGTTAGTCCTAAATTAAGATTACAGTGACATACGGAGTATAGCAGGTTTCTTCGTTAATTTCCGGTACATTGTTTATCGGGAATGGGACGTTGTTGTTAAAGGCATTGAAGCCACTGTATATATGTATTAATATAGATTTCGTTAAGTGCTAACCTTTCTTGAACATACAACTCGCAATGGCAAAGAAAGTGTTCGATTGTTTCATTTTCATTTAAGTTGCAGACATTGCACAATCGACCATTTTCTTTTGAGATATCCACTTTTTGTGA